CACTCCTCATATGGCTTCCCCTACAGGTCCTTCACCCTCATGGCTCTCTTTTGGACACCCTCTAATAGATTCACGTCTTCCTTATATTGTTGCGCTCAAAACTCACACACAATATTCGAAGTGAGGCCACATCACTGCACAGCAGAGTGGGACAATCACCTCCCCTGCCCGGCTGGTGATGGTCTGCAAAGCAACAAAGTTGAAATATAAAAATGCTTTCAAAGGGATTCATAAAAATTAGGCTGGTTTCAGAAACAAGTTCCTTCAGAAGTCTCGAGTCTGGCATGAAAGGGTGGATGACAAAGACTACACTAATGTTCAGAATGCTGGAAAGACAGAAAGCTAAGGAATTGTTCCCGAGTTGCTGCTGGTAATATACAGTAACATCGGAGGGCGGCAATTAGCAGGGAATGACTCTTGAAGCTACTCATTGCTTCAGAGACAGTGAACTGAATAAGGTGAACTGAATTTGGTGGAAATAGTTATATCTGTGGAAGACCCTGGTATGCTTCATGATACAATTGACAGATACAATTTCCTTAATAATCTCGATTCCAAAACCACCTTAACAAAAGTTTTCTGATCCATGAAGAATATAGGCACAATATAGCAGACTGTTGTGTTGCATGCACGGTCTAGTATGAAAATAAAGGAGGAGGTGAGAGAGGATGATAACACAGAAGTAGTATTCTCAGGACTGCTTCTTTTAAGAGGTCTCTCAGTCCTTGTAACCTTGATTTATTCTCACCTATGTACATCCCTGACAGAAACTTAGCTGTTATGGAGCTAAACGAAATAGTAGTGTACATGGGATTCTTGTTGATGTAGGCTCATCTTTTGGGAATTTCACATTTGGATTGGTGTTCACAGGAGAGCGCTGTGGGGAAATTCCTTTATGTGGGTTCCTTTACAGTAAATGGAAACAGAAAGGCTCCTACAACCCGCAGATCAGCACAAGAACTTAATTTACATGCTCTAAACTTGCACTTGGAAAAGCTGATCTTTGTCATTGGACTTGAAAGGGAGTGTGAGTGTCCAGTCTTTCCTAGGGCAATGGAGCAAAATATTTAATTTATGAAAACATGACCTTATTAAAACATGTATCTTATTTTTAGGGCATAGAATATGTTTCAATTAAAATGGTACTCTGAAAGTCAAAAACATTTGCTTCAAATATTAAGATACTGTTATTTTTCTGAAATAAAGGATTTTATTTTGAAAATATATGAAAAATGTCAACGTTAATGAACTCTTCCTGTTTCTTGATTGAAGCAATTTCTGAAATTTAGTCTATTTGCATGACTAGTTTTGCTTTCCCTGAAACTGGTTTTGGTTTACTTATCATTAATTACATATATTTTTCTCAGCTCAATGCCAAGTTTCAAACCTCTGTGACACCAGCAAGCTATTTTGTTTCTCTTGAATGTCTTTGATTTCACAAACCATGAAATATACCATACAAAGTGCTGTGCCATCACTGAAGGTGTTTGTTCTTATTTTATGTCTGCCAAAACACCAAAGCAAAGCTCACACTTCCAAGCACTTTAACCAGAATTTAGAGCATGTAAGTGTGCAGCCTGCTGTTGCAGACACCTCCATACTCTTCCTTCCTAAGTGGACGTTTCCATTTCTCAAGACATTATTCATTCAAGCCACTGGCAAGAGAACACCTCTCATGCAGAGTCTTACAAGTTCAGGTAAGCCATTATTCTGTGATGCCATCTAGCATCCTCTTTTACCCACCCAACGGCAGGATATTATAGCCATGTCAGTGAAAAAGTGCAATGTAGTTGTTAGAAAAAGACCAAATATCTAACGTATGCCATTAAAAATTCATCTAGAGGTAGTTAAGTGTTAAAATCCAAGTACTTGCTTGTGTGACCTTTCTATTGCTGCACTTGCATCAATGGTTTCAGTGTCTTTGCAGACATTTCTCTATAGTTAAGTTGAATTCCCTCTGAGTTTGGAAGAAAGGAAGATAAATGAACTGGCCATCTCAGTAAAATACAGCTAGACTTGTTATGTGAAGAGAAACTTTTTTATTTGAAGATTAAAAAAATTTAATTTGAAAAGAGTCTGAAGCACCCAAACTTGAAAATAAAATTTATTAAACTACATAGAGCAGCTTCTATTCAAACTGCTCAATTGCAGCTGATGGCATTAGTTGGAATTAAGGAGGTGACACAAAAGGGTCAGGAGAGTGGTTCATTCTACCTTTCTTTTAAATATTTTGTTTTCCTGTGATAAAAATACATAAATTATTTCCTCAGGTAAACTGAGTGATGGAAAGTTTGAACAAATGGAAGTATTATATGGTGTTTGTCATGGTTTAACCCCAGCCAGCAACTAAGCACCACACAGTCGCTTGAAAATTGAAAAATGTGCCATGGTGGGAACTGGCAGGAAGGAAAAGATCAAATAAACTAAGATTCTGGCTAGGTTCAGTAACAGCAACATTCTGGTGAAGTCAACTTTCCACCAGAGTTAATGATTACTTGTATGCGTCACTGAGAGTGCTGTAGGAGAGAGGTTACTATTCCTCAGATCCCAAGACAGTTTTTCCACTGCCCTCTCAAATTAAAACATCTCGTACCTCCTTCGTACCACAAAATACACCAATAACTTTTTCACTTAACATGTTGCATCAGTGCTCTGAGGGCACTGCCAGGCCTGGCTGTCCCTGCCCAGCCTCCCTCAGTGCCCAGTGCCCCTCCTACTCAGGTTATTTCCCAAATAGCCATTGCCAAGATGTCATGGTATTTCACCCCACAATCACAGTACTCTCATTTTTGTGTTCTCCAGTTGCAGGTACCTTCTATGAGCCTCACAAATACCTTGCAAATGCTCTTGGTCCTCTCCTAGTAAATCCACATCTGCTTTAGAAGAGTACTTTTGTCACCGAGGTATATAAGCATAGAACTCAGCACTAATGTGAGTTAAAGAATACTCACCCTTGCCAAGTGAGGCTGTACCACTTACAGCTAGTAATTAAAGATTAATCAAGCTCTGGAAAAATTAAAAGTGAAAGAATGACAGGGTGAGAGCTACGCTTTCAGCATAAAAATCTTGGTTATAGCTCTCATCCAAGGCCTGCTTTTGTATTTTGTGTTAAACAGATACTAGAATAAGCAACCAAAATCCATATTTCTGCACACTTCATATACCACTCCCCTTATCAACTAAAGATCATTTCCAGCATTTTCTCACACAATTAACATTTACTTTGATATGAAAACTACTTTCATAGCAAGAGAAATCCTTAGAAGGTATGCTGAACAGACTGTGGTGTTGCCATTAGGGCATCCATCCTAAGGGCATGAGGTATGAAATTTCTTGGGCACCCAAGGGACTGCACTTGTGCATCTTGCTCTCTGAGTGCTCCAACCATTCACATAAAGTGCTCATCAACTTGTATTGCATATTTGCATCTAGGCCTGATCCATAGATGCTGTGACTATCACACTGCAGATTTTCAAAGTCCTCTCTTAATTAAGGTTTACCACACTAAAGCCTTCATAAAGCATCTTCCTCTGGCAATGCCTGCTTTAGTAACCCAACAGATGCTGATCTGCAGTAGCAAAAGTCACTAGTACTGAGGACTGGATGTCCACATTTGATATACATTCAGGTTTTCCTTCAGACTAGTCTGATCCACTAGATTGAACATCCATTAATGACATGAACATGCTGAGGTACCCTTGGATCATCAAAAACTGAAGCACCTGAATGACTGCCTCTTTTCTTAAAGCTGGTGTTCACAGAATATGTGCCCACATTTACACTGTCACAACAAAACTTCATGGTTCAGTGAGGTAAGTTGGTGTCTCAGTAATTCTGTGCACTTGGGAAAACACAGTGGTGTATACCTGGAGAAATGGAATTCCTAAATGAAGATTAAATATCTAATGATTACCTCCATCACTGAATTTGCCAGCATAATTTATAATAAATGCACACTGTTTGAAACCTTCCTTGTGGCCACAAAGGCTGCACAGCATTTATAATGGAAAAAACACAATTCAAAACCCTTACAGGGAAGAGGAATAGAATCAGAAAGATCTGATGTAGTCTGTAGCTGTTGGAATGATTCTATCTGCATGATACAATACATATTTTCATTGAAAATAACAACTTCACCTGACATTACTTCGTTTAAGATACCTGCAGGAAAGCGTACTCCCGGCCTTATCCTTGTACTGGAACATGGTGTTTCCCTGCACACGTCAGGACACTCTCGTGAAAGATCCACACCTTCTCCCGCTGGAGATTATCACTACACTCTCGGTCCCTCGGGCTTCCCTCCAGCTCGGCAGGCAGGCGGGCTTCTGCAGCCCCACAAACCCCTTTCCATCTCCGTGGGCAGGCAGGATGCTGCAGATCCCGAGACCCTGCTCCAGCTTGGCGGGCAGATGGGATCCCGCAGCTCCTCAAGACCCTCCATCCAGCTCGGTGGGCAGGAGGGTTCCTACAGCCCCCAAACCATCTCGGTGGGCAGGCGGGCTCCTGCCCCCGCCCCGCCGCTGCCCTGCCGCGCCGACCGCCCCGCGCCGGCGGGGACTCCCCATCCCGCTGAGAAGTTCGCTGCTCCACAGGTTTAAACGTGTCGTGTTCGGTGACTGCGTGGCAAAACGTGCCTTGAATTTCGAAAAGCAGCCTGTCCAAAGTTTGTTGTAACTTCTCTTGCCTTATACAAAAAGGGAGAGAAGCTGCTTCTCGGACGGAGAGGCTCGGGACCGAACCAAGACAAAGGACATTCCGCCTGGGCATCAACATCTGCCGGGCAGGTTTTCAAGGAGCGGGAATCGGCGAGCAGCGGAGGAGCCCTCGCCTGCCTCGGCCGCCGACCCCTCCGCAGCCGCCACCCGCGGCCTCGGGGCAGCGGGGCTGGCGCGGGACGGGCCCGGCGGAGGCCGGGGGGCGCAGCCGCCGCGGCACCGCCGGTAACGGCCGGGACGGGAGCGGCCGCAGCCCCGCCGCCCCTCCGCGCCCTGCGGCGCCCGCCGAGACCCGCGGAGCTGCAGCCCAAGGTGAGCCGCAGGGGTCTCCGTTTCTCCCCTCCACCCCGCAGGATGTGCAGAAGGGTGGCGGGAGGCAGAATCCGGCGGGGCCTCTCCCCTGGGGCAGGCGGGAGGGAGCGGCGAGGCGACCGCTCTCCGAAGCGGAGATTTTGGCAAGCAGATGGAGCCCGGCTCAGGGCCTCCCGCAGGCCCGGCCGTGCTCGGCCGCCTCCCGAAGCGCCGGGTCCGGGCCTGGCCCGCGGACACAGCCGCGGGGAAGCGCCGCTTTTCCCTCGTGCCGGTCGTCCCGGAGGGGAGGGGTGGTTGGGAGAGCAGGCGGGGCCACCCCTGACCGAGGGGGCCTCGCGGGTGGGTGATGACCCTAAATTCCTCATGGGCACAGCTCCCAGAATAGAGTAAATCCGGCAGAAAGAAAGGGAAAAAAGATCGAAAAGGGCCTCCTCCGTCCTTCTGTACTTTTTCCATCTCCGTCGAGATGCCTGGGCGGCTTGTGCCTCTTCTCAACTCGGTGCCCCTCCCATCCCTGAAGTGTTCAGGGCCAGGTTGGATGGGGCTCTGAGTGACCTGGTTTACTAGAGGGTGTCCCTGCCCATGGCAGCTAGTTGGAACTAGAAGATCTTTAACGTGCTTTCCAGTAAAGACCATTAGATGATGCATAGATGATGTACCACTGCAAGGTCACGTTCAGTTAGAGCAGGTTTAGTTGGAACAGCATGCAAATCTGTATGGATATTCCTGACTAAATACATTAGCTGAGGAGAATAAGCTACCCTCAGGCATGGTTTACTTTGCTGGCTTTAAATAATATATGGTTATTTTTTTCTAATTAAACCCTTGCATCTGTCAGTGAAAGGCCCTTATTTAATGTGTGCTTTTTCAGGGTCCTTCTGCTTGACACACAAAGTGGTAGCTTTCAGAATTCACATGGTTTTTATGTAAAGAAATTTCTTCTATGTCAGATAGATGGAGCACATATTAGGCTTAGATCTTTGGGAGTTAGATTTCGTTATGTGTAACTTAACAGTTCCTTTGATTAGAAAAATATTCAAATACCTTGTTTTTCAAGGTGTTTTAAAGAATCTGAGGCATGAGCATTTTGGACAGTAGCCAGTATTTGAGCATTTTGAAAGATCTATCTGCTTATAAATGTAAGTGTATTTATACACTAAATGGAAGTGAGTGTGTGTTATATTAGAAATAGCTCTGAAGAAGATTAGCAGGTTTTTTCTTACTTCAGGACTTAAAGTAGTGCAAAGTTCAATGGTAAACCAGGCAGATCTATATTTGATATATGTCAAAAAATGTTAAATAGATTTATTTGAAGATTTGATGGAGACCCTGTTTGTGGAAAAGGGGGTGGCAAAAATGTCATCCTTGCAGGAGAAGACTGCAATGTTGCAAACATTACACAGCTGTGGCCTACAGTTACTTGAACAATTGCAGCAGAAAATATGCAAACCGTTTTTAAATTTTGGTAATAGCAGATACTTGGTAGATATTCAGAAAAATGTTTTCATGAGGAGGAGAGCACTGACACACAACAGGTTGTACAGGGAGGTTATGGATTGTCTGTTCATCTTAAATGCTACAGGTGATGTGAACTAGTGTGCGGCAGAAATTTGGACTGGACGATGATCACCAGAGGTCCCTTGAGAACATCTCTGTGAGTCTCAAATGCATGATGTAGAGAAACCTATGGAATGGAGTGTATGATCAGATATGTATTGTGTGACTATTCTTGGAGAGGTATGTTTCTAGGAATGACCAAGAGGATGAGAAACTGAAATATATGTGGAAAGGACTGAAAATTTACAGAGGTATAAATGTGGAACATGGCAGTAAGGCAGACATAGCTAGGGGACTGAAATATTAAGAAATTATAACAGGAAGAGCAGGTTTTTGGAGAAGAGTGGTAAGGATGAGTGCGGGAATAGGGTAATTTCGTATGATGGAGGACAAAGATGCTGCTACTTAGAAACAGTGTTTGAAACAACTGAGCAGGAGAAAGGGAAACACCAAACTGGGGAGCACTGGGAATTGAGGTGGGGCAGGGATATAGGCAGAAGTTGTTGGTTGCTTCGAAGAAAAGTATTTGGGCATGGATGGTAAGGTAGGTGATGTACATAAGCCATGAGGTGCTTCATGGGGCTGAAGTGTTTGGGATTGGTAGAATGAGACAGGAATGACGGATGTGGTGAGGTTGTAGGGTTGTATGGTTGCAGGAGTGGGTCTGGTGTGTGCTGGTACTAGACAGAGGTGTATTGATTAGATGGGTGAGGACAGCATGTGGAAGCGGCGTGCAAAGTGTGTGACTGTGCTAAGGTGAGGAAGGAAGGTGTTTGAAAGCAACGGGACAGGAGTTTGGTGTGTGGCCATTGAGGGGGTATGGAGTTGCACTGGAGAGATTGCACAGAGCGGTAGCAGGGGCACGAGGGTACAGCAGCATGAAGATGCACAGAGAAACGACACGCGTATGAACGCTGATGTTGGGGAGGTGACAGGTGTTGTCATATCTGAGAGAAAGTTGAGTAGGCGAGGCTGGAGAAGGGCACAGGACAGCACGGGGTAGAGGAGTGTGAGTTATGGCGGAGTGAGAAAGGTTTGAGCCAGGAGCAGCACAGACGAGGCACAGGATTGGGAGGCACGTTGAACGTGCGAGGAGGGTGGCTGTGCAGACTTCAAAGAAGAGAAGGAAAAGTGGAGAGAGAAAGCGTACGCTGTGTAGCTGTGTTAAGGGCGCATAAACCCTTGAGAACGGAGCCGAGGATACATTTATTGATGCGATTAGCGTAGTGGAGATAGTAGAGGATGCGGTGCGCGGGGCAGCAGGAGCACCGGGAACACCGGGACGCGCGGGAGAGAGCTCCTTAGCGCAGCGCTGCCGGGAGGCTGTGGAGGCGGGAGGAGCATGCCGGGACGGAGAAGGACGGGATTTGTGCCGGGCACGGCTCCGTGGGGCGGGGAGCGGCGGGGCGGGCGGGAGGCGGCACAGCCCGGCGTCACTGCCGCCTCCCCTCACGCAGGCCGGGGCTGCTATAGCGACGCGGAGGACGCCGGCGCCGAGCGGAGCCGCAGGGACGGAGCCCGGACATGGTGAGCGCCGGGACGGGCGGGCTGGCGGGGCGGGGAGTGCCGGTCCGGGCTGAGCCGTGTCTCTCTCCCGCAGCCTTTCTCCCAGCGCACCTACCAGCCGCCGGCGGCCGGGCCCGGCGCGGGGCCGGCGGCGTTTCCCGCGTTCCAGTTCCGCGGGCGGCACGAGAACCCGGACTGGCGGCGGCTGAGCACCGTGGACGTGGAGCGGGTGTCGCGGGAGGGGGACGTGGCGGCCCTGCAGACGCACCTGGAGCATGTCACCTTCTGCAGCGCCGATCGGGAGTGCTGCCCGCACTGCCAGGGCCCCGCAGACCCGCTGCTGCTGAAGCTGCTGCGCCTGGCGCAGCTCTCCACCGAGTACCTGCTGCACTCCCAGGAGTACCTCAGCGCCCAGCTCGGCAACCTGGAGGAGGCCCTGAGAGAGACACAGGCCCAGCGTGACCAGCTGGGCAAGGAGGTGGCCCAGCGCTTGCAGGAGATCCAGGGGCTCAAGGAGGAATGCCGGCGGAGGAAGAAGATGATCAGCACCCAGCAGATGATGCTGGAGGCACGAGCCAACTACCACCAGGTGAGAGGAGAGGACCTGGTGACCCAGTCACCCACACCTGGTCAGCTCTGAGCCTGCTGGGGTGGGTAGCAGAGCAGTCCCACTCTGCTGGGGTGCAGTTACTTGCTGGGGAAAAGGCTGGAACTGCAAGGAATTGCAAAAGGAATTGTATTGCTGGCACTTGTTTTCCATCTGTGTTTCAGAGACTCTTGGGAGAGTGCTACATCATCTTTAACAAATCCTCTTTTTACTAACAGGTGCTCTTTACTCTTGGATTCGTTTTAGATGCATCTGAAGTGTCAGATACACACACATACAAAACTTGTGATGAGCGTGTTTCTACTTTGTTGTGTTGCTCTTTCCTTGTCTGTCAACTGCATGGTCAGAAAACACACGAGGCAAATGCATCAGAACTGATGCTGAGCAGTAATGTACTGTCTGTGAGAAGTCACTGTCCTGCACTGATGTTCTCCAGGCACAAAGTTTCTGCTTGTGTGTGTGACTCAAAGGTGACTCAGACAACATGGTAAAGAGCTTCAGTGAGTTAGCTCAGCTCTGATTCCACAACAATCTGTTCCTAAAGAGTCTTCCTTAAGAGCCTTAGTACATAGCTGTTCTGACTGACAGTGTCATGGCACTTTGCTTTTATTGGGAGGATTTTTTGTCTCACAACAACGGTGTGGTAGTTTAAGTATTTTTCAGCATCAGCATTTTAAGGTTTCAGGAATGCAAATTTCAGCTTCCAATGTAATTTGAAGTGTAAAGGGTAGACTGGGCACAGACTTGACATGATTTCAGGCTAGCTCTGTATGTTTAAAGTTACAGGCAAAGTTCAATATTTAAGACACCAGCTAAGTTGGCTCAAATGTTTCTGTAAGGGAAAAGGTACCTCATGCCCCAAGAGTAGAACTATACATGAGGCAAGGTTCATGCATTCAAGTGTTAGTCTGAAGGACAAGCTGCTGATATGATATTATTGAAAAAAAACCCAACCTTTATGCAACTCACAAAGCTGTTTGTCCTGTGTTGCAAAAGAAAACAGATTGCATGTGCCATTTGATGTGTAAACTTAAATAATTCTCATACTGTGATTGCCAAATATTATCAAGTTTCCGGAAATATTTGTAGTGTGCAACAGGCTCTGTGGAAGCTGAAAAACATGGTAGTGAACTTGTCTCATTGCTAATCTATTCAATGGCATTTGAGGTAAAGCAGAGATGGAAATCTATTTCCCATTTGTAATTTGATTTCATATAAACCTCTGATCTTCTCCCTTTCTTTCTTCTCTGTTACTAATTTCTTTTCTCTAGAAGTTATTTAAGTTCACATGAGTTCAGGGAACGATGTTGAACAATACCTGAAGTTCCTGCAGTGTTTTCAGAATTCTGAGTTTGAATGCCAGAGATTAATTAAACTCTTCCCAATGTTTGTAAATGCAGAGTAGCTGTGTGATCAGTAAACAATAGCTGTGTGATATTTATCTGTGCAATGATCCTGTGTTGCCAGATAATAGGGGCTTTACTTGATGTTTCTGAGAGGGTAGTTCAGATCCCATCCCCTCAAAGTCTTGGATGTTTCTCAAATAAGCCTGTTACTTGTTTACAAATAAGCAATTTTTAGCAGAGGTGCACTTTACAGCTAATGTGAATGTTTTGGAATTCAGATGTAATGCCTTTAATCCAACACCAATATAAGTTTAACCATGAAATGCTACTATAAAATGGTACTGATACCTACAACTCATAAATTTAAGACTTGTTGGTCAGTACCTTCATATGAGTAATACAAATTTAATTTTAAATAATATTTTTTACTTTTTTGGTACTTTGTTCAGAAATCTTACATTCTCATGTACAATGTAGGCATAAAGTGCATGTTATGGTTAAAACTTGAAAAGTAGTTGCAAGAAAAGTATTGCATAATTCAAAACTTAAATATTCCCTTTGTTAATCCTGTCTCCTGTAGTAAGAGCTTTCTTTCACTACCAGCAAGTCAAACTGACATGAAGCTTGTGCTTGAATGGATAACATTATTTCACAGCCGATTTAATTCAGTAAATCATGTGCAATTTGTTACACTGTAAGCTCCCTCTTGGTTGGCAGTAATGCTTTGCTGCCATACTATATAACTTTATTTTGGTTTTATATTATGTCTTGCATTTGCTTAACAAAATTTGTCTTAATTATTCATGGCTTTAGTGTTTGCTGAAAAGTGTATTTCATAGGATACCCGACTAAACAGTGGCAGCATTTTAAATATAATATGCAATCTGGGAATTTCACATAATTACAGACTCATTTAGCTTGGAAAAGACTTCTGAGATCATCAAGTCCAACTTTTGACTGATCAACATCTTGTCAGCTAGACCATGGCACTAAGGTGCTGTGTTCATTTATTTCTTTAACATCTCCAGGGATGGTGACTCCACCACCTCCCTTGGCAGTCCATGCCAATGTTTCACCACCCTTTTAATGAAAAATTCCTTCTGATGTCCAACTTGAACCTTCCCTGTCACAGCTTGATGCTGAGACCTCTTGGTCCTGTCATTTGTTGCCTGGGATAAGAGGCTGACCCCTGTGTAATTACACCCTCTTTCAGGCAGTTGTAAAGAGTGATAAGGTCTGAGTCTCCTTTTCTGCAGGCTAACCACCGCCAGCCCCCTCAGCTGCTCCTCATAGGTCTTACTCTCCAGACCTTTCGCCAGTTCCACTGCCCTTCTCTGGACATGCTTCAGCACCTCAATTCCTTCTTGTAGTGAGGAGCCCAGAACTGGACACAGGATTTGAGGTATGGCCTCACCAAGGCTGAGTGTAGAGGGACAATCAGTGCTCTGGTCCTGCTGGCCACAGCACTGCTGATATAAGCCAGGATGACACTGGCATCTTGGCCACCGGGATGCACACTGGCTCATGTTCAGCAGCTGTTGACCAGCGCTACCTGGTCCTTTTCCACTGAGCAGCTTTATAGACACTGCCCCAAGCCTGTAATGCTGCAGGGGGTTTTGTGGCTGGAGTAAAGAACCTGGTGCTTGGTCTTGCTGTACCTCTCTGTCCGTCAATCCATCCTATCCAGATCCTTCTGCAGAGCCTTCCTACCCTCCATCAGATCAACATTCCTGTTTAGTTGGCATTGTCTGCAAATTTACTGAGGGTGCACTCAATCCCCTCATCGAAATCATCAATAAATGTATTAGACTGGGCTGTCCCCAGCACTGATCCCTGGGGACATGGCTAGTGACCAACTGGATGTGACACTGCCACAATCTCTGGGTCTGTCCATCCAGCCAGTTCTTAACCCAGAGAAGAGTGCACCTGTCCAAGCCATGAGCAGCCAGCTTTTCCAGGAGACTGCTGTGGTAGATGGTGTTTGCTTAAGTCCAGGTAGGCAATATCCACAGCCTTTCCTTCAACCACTGGGCAGGTCACCTGGTAATAAAAGGATCGGGTTAGTCAGGCAGGACCTGCCTTTCCCAAACCCATGCTGGCTGGGCCTGATTGCTTGGTTGTCCTGTATGTGATCACACTGAAGATGCTTTTGTTTCCAGAACATTGCCAGGCACCCAGGTCAGGCTGACAGACCTGTAGTTCCCCACATCATCCTCCTGGCATTGATTGTGGTCACAAGATCTTGAACCCATTAATCTGATTTCTTACTGTCTTTTCACACTGATAAGTAAAAATAACTTTTTTGAGTGTCTGTAGTTTGTTAAAATGTATTTATTTGGGAAAAAAGTATGAGATAGAGGTAATGAATGACCCTAAAGTGATGAGGAGCCTCATACATAGTCTTAAACTCTGTAACATGAGTTTGTAGATGTAGCTTCTGCCTGTGTACTATTCATCTATTTTCAATATATTCTGAATATTAGTAGAATGTATTTTGAAGGTGAACAAAAAGGATATTTCAGAATGGGTGCAATCCAAGTTTGACTTCAAATTTATATTCAAAACTAGTAGGTAAATTTCTAGAAACAGTAGGTAAATACTAGAAGCAGCAATTGAAACAACTTTGTGCTTCAGAAGGATTCTAGGTAGCATACTAATGTAGCTACATACCTTTTCTTACAAAATTGTGTACTGTTACTTTACCTTGGTTGAAATGTCTGAGTATTTTACAAGTCCTTTGAGTATTGTCATGTTACAACTCATACACTCAAACCCATCTTTATTGTTTCTTTCCAGCTATGTGGTGCTCTACTTTGTAGTGTTACATGAATCTTAAGAGCCCCTGAGCTGCTAGTTGGCTGGAGTCTGTGTATTTTGCTGAAGAGGGTTGTCATGCCTTTTCCTTATAGTTCTATACCTACATATCTTGTCTGTGGTTTATATCTGAATTTGAACTTACTTGGCCAGAGTCTATTCTGAACAGTGCCTAGCACAATCAGATTCTTGCTCATGACCATCACTGTGAAACTTTAGATAGCATTAATATACTAATGACTTTACAAAAGTTGGGTACCATGAGAATTTTTGTTCTTTTTCTTGTGAGACGGAGTTTGTTAAAGTTACCTTCTTTTTACATATGAACAAAATGTAAAAACCTGTTAAAAACCTTAACCACTGTATTTTCCAAAAATATGGTTCTAATATGTTTTTAACTGTTTCTTTTTGGTTTTTTTTTTTTTTTTTTTGCAGTGTCCATTTTGTGATAAGGCTTTTATGACGTATTCCTTTTTACAAAGTCACATTCAAAGGCGTCACCCAGGAGTGTCTGAGATCGGTATGTACTTTAATGTTATCCCAGAAATTGAGAGAGGTAGTTTAGAAAAGTGTAAATATAGTGAGGATGTGCAGTCCGTGATTTTGTGTAACTTGGATTAAAAGTTTTTACTTTTCACTTTTAGGTGGCAGACTCCAGTTTGTATGAATGCAAATACCACTGACTGATACAATGTATTGGGCAACATATGTTTCAGTCTCTGGAAAATAGTTAACAAAAACCTGTAGTGCAGCATCTTTTCAAACTAGCATTTCTGTTGCTAGTTTGCTACTTTAGCCAGTAGCACAGTTCAGAGCACAGTTTCTCTTTAGGCATGGATGTTATGAAGGCATTGGTAAAATGAACAAGCTGAACTAAGGAAAATAACTTTTGTAAATATATAGTAATTAATACAGAAATAATCCACCCCATCTGAAATCAGTTTGAATAGGATCAGGCTTTCCTGGACTAAACTGACTGTAAAATGTACTGAGAAAGAGAAACTGTTAAGAGCAGTCTACCTTCATCATCCATGATACTCAAGGTTTTTGCACCACTTACTTGCATACTTTTTTCTCTCTTCACTAAAATATGTTTAGTTTGAAAAACAATGTTCTCAAAATTTCTTTCATTTATATCGAAATTCTGTCCTTTCTCCTAGGTTGCATGCTTATGGTTTATTGCTAAGGACTAACAAGTATTGACAAGTAACAGTAATTAGAAATAAGTTAGGAAAAAAGGAGCATTTGGGAGGAGAAAAAGTGGAATGAATCTAATATTGTCTGAACTGTAGCTTGTCAGGCAAACGGAACAGCAGCAAGAGTGAGAGGGGTCTGAATAAATGGCTGAGGAAGTGTGAATATATTGGAAGAAGAAAGAAGCTCTTGTGCACCTTATACTTGATAAAAATGATAGTGGAAGATGCTGCAGAAACAGTTGAAGTAATTGTTGTATACAAGGATTAGCCCAAAATGGCTGTATGGGGAAAATATCCCATGCAGTTCTTCCTGAAATAATATTCAGATTCCCAGGTGACGGGCAAGTAAATCCTTGGTAAATCAATGGACTATTTCACAATTGAAGATTGTTGTGATTTTTGCATATTTTAACATTTTTGTTTGATATTCCTCCATTCTTTCCACATAAATAATTTGTTGCATTCCAAGTGGACTCTTTACAAAAGTTATTTAGCATAAACTTAACCTAAGAGATTGAATAGCTCAGGTTCACTTTGTCCTTCATGCATCTTTTTTATGAGCCTGTGTTGCTTAGATTCCTTTGAAATTAGGTTATATAATATTTTTCATGTAAATATTTCATAAACTATTTCATATGTCAGTGGTACAAGTATTTGAGGGTAAGTTTGCAGTCCAGAGAATATATATATTTAAAAGTATCTATGGAGAATCATGGTAGTGGGAGAGGAAATGGTCACTTCATGAACACTAGAAATGTATTTGCAGTAAGTATTACAGTTCCAGAAATTGCAACAAACCTTTTAAAAATCTCTATTTCCTTCAAACAGAACAGAAGAAGAATGGAAATATACAAAAATTGCAGGATGAGATTGAAAAACTGAAGGAGCAGTTGCAGCTTACCAAGTCCCAGTTAGAGTTTGAACAACAGGCTAATTTGGCCAGGTTGTCTAAGGTAATACATACTGAGTAATGTCTCAAAAGAATTAGCACTTCAGACTGTGTTCACTCATCCCAGAGAAGTACTGGATTTCCCAACGTCGAACACTTTCAAGATTCAACTGGACGAGGTCCTGGGCCACCTTGTCAGTTTGTGCTGTTGTCAAGAAAGGCTGGACCGGATTATCCTGGAGGTTAATCCCTTCCAGTCTCATAGTCTATGATGGATGATGATTTTCTTCCTTGTTTTCAGAGGAAACCCTGATCTTCTGTAAAACACAGAGTATTTTTTTCCCCTGAAAAAATACTTCAGACTTCTTTCTTCTGTCCTTTTGTTCCCCTTTTTTTGGAAGTGTTCAGCTTCCGTTTTCAAAAGTACTGAATGACCAAATCAAAAGCTGGTAGAGTTTCACTTAGGCGTGCAGGCACTGTCAGAATAATGGGTCTTGGCCCTATGTGAACATATGGAAGGTATTCTACTCATTCATTCTGTGCCTAGCTTTTGAGATGTACATCTATAACTTATTTCTCCTGCCCCCAAAGCATTTTTTTGTTTGTGAGGTGGAACTTGGAGTATTCATAACAGTACAGTGTAGATTTTTTTGGTGCCTTAGGGGCCCCTTTTGAAGTCACTTGTCTTAGCTGAGACTCCTAACTGCAAGGGGACTACCTGGAATGTCCTGAAGCTACAGTCTGCAGTGTTACACAACAAGAATCTTTCAAAACTTCTCTGTTTTTCTGGGATGTCAGGGAAGATAGAAATGTGTGACTGGTTACAGTCTGCTGTGGCTGACATCCACTGTCAGTTGAGCTGTCATAATGTTACTGTCTTTTGATTGAAAGAGCAGAGGATCTTTCCCATGTAGTTTGGTTTTTTTTTAAGAGCACTACTGGGGGGAATTTGTGTATAAACTGCCATGCTTCCTATTATTAGTCCCTTCTGCTCCTTTGATGTGAAAGGGTACAGATGATCCCATTCTTCCTAGTTGTACAATGATTGCATGTTATAGTTAGAGAACAAATTCAGAGTGAATGCTGTGATGGAATAATGTGTTTCCTAAAAGATATGTATGTCCTGGGCAGTGAAATGTAGGACTTTAAACAATTTGTGAACTATATAAAAATGCATTACTATGTAGTGAAATGGTTGAAGTAATCTAATGGATAAAGTGGGGTAAATATATATGGGGATAAAATAGTTCTAATTCTTTCTGTGAAACAATGGGTTCTGAGCTGAGTGCTGTTACTGAAGGGCAAGATCTTAAACTTGTAATACACAGCCATGGGGAAATGTTAGTAGCAGCTAGCCAAGAAAATCAAATATTACTAATTATTCTGAAAAATCACTGTGCAAGCCACAGCCTAAATATGTTGTGTGAGTCTAGTCCCTTCATCTCAAAAAGGAGAGGATAGAGCTATAAAAATTGTGAAGATGGGCTACAAAGATGTTCAGTCAGTATTTAGAATGACTGAGCATGCTGAGAGTTGTCAGTCTGAAGAAGAGACAAACACTTGATGAAGATGGAGGGTAGGATACTGATACCTGTGAAGTCATGAGTTACACAGAGTGAATAGTGATGAACCATTCCCTCTGTGCTCCAGTTCAGGGCTCAGAATCCATCAAATGTTCCTAGCAGGAGCCAGATTCAAACAACTGCAATAAGAAAAGTACTCGGCTCTTCATGCAACTTGTGGAGCTCATTGGTGAAAGCTGTGGCAGTTGCTAAAAGCTGATGAAGCCTCAGGAGATGACTGCAAAGTGTATGAGGAGAAATGTATTGAAGTTCATGCACTTAATGAAGTTCACAGAACTGTATCAGGCTTCAGAAGTCCTCTGAGCTGAAAACAGCTGGCAACTTAGAGACAGTGAAGGAGAAATAATGAAATAATAATAATGAAAGGCCAAAACTGTTTTGAAGCATACTTGTTTAGCTAGCAAAATGTATAGTTTGTTACCGTAGAATTCTTTAAAAACTGTTGGTTTTTATGTTTTCTGATGTCCCAGTATTTCCCAAATATTGAAAGTGACTGCATTCTACATATAGTTTGGGAGCTTGAATTTGTATTGAATGTGAGGAAAATAACAAATAATGTTTTTTAAAAAAATTTCAGGAATGTGAGCAGCAAAAATCAAAAGAAGAAGAGATTCTACAATCATTTAATAAGTGGAAAGAGGAAGAAAGAGAGAAATTGGCTGATCAAATAGAAAAAGTGAAAGATATGTTTATGAAAGAGCTTAAGGAGTTATATTCAAGAAATTCAACCTTAGAAAATGTAAGCAATTCAAATTTTCTAACATTTTAAAGCATGAATCTCTTACAATAGATGGCAGTGAAGTTCACATATTTGAAATGTGATAAAGCTCTTCCTACAAAACTATTTATAGGTTAGTAGATATTGTTGTGGTTCCTGCATGTTAGGTATCCTTATGTTAATATTCTCATAAGAGGCATGGAGAACACTAACCTCTGCATTATAGTCCTGATAGAATCTGCGTGTTTCAATACATGCTTTGGAAATGCTCACTAGCAAGAGAATTATAAAATTGTGGTTGGGTCAGTAAACAAATCTGCATGGCATTACCAGAGCAGCTTATATTTTGTAGCTGCTATGTCCTGTGTACTTTTGAAAGTCATATTTATGTTAGATGTAGATATTATTAATTATGTGAAGTTTGATAAATGCTGAACTCGTGAGAAATGGGAGAAGTATCTGATGCAATCTCTGCATAACTGTGTTTAAAGAAATGTTTGTATTCCTCCTCTCTCCTATTAGCAACTGTTAGAATTACAAAAGTTCAATCTGGAACAAAAATCCAATTTAGGAACACTGAAAGACAGCCATGAATTTACAGAGGAGAAACCTCAGCGTCCTCAGGAACATCCAGATGTGGTTAGACTTCTGGAAAAGCAGGTAACACTGTAACTTAATGTATTGTTTTTGACAGATTACTTGCTTTCTTTTTTTTTTTTTTGTTCATCTCTGAGTAGGATATGAAATCTCCAAGTAAAATTCTCATTCTTCTCAATGCCAAAAATAGCTGATTTTGAAGATTTAATACTATTTAATACTATCCATATAATGGCAAACAAGGATTTATTTTCTTTATCCTTTATAAATGAATTAATTGTTACTTATTTATTGATATTCTCTTATTCTTTATGACTAAGTATATCCGTCTTTGCCAAGTGTGGTGGCAGTTCAATTCCAGAAGGCTTTAATAAAGCATTTATGTTTACTCATCTGTGAGGCCACTTACAGAAAAATCCATTTCCCAAAATGAAAAAGAAAATTAGGAAACTTTCTGACAGGATTTTCCAACCTGTGCCTTTTGTTTACTTTCATGTTTTTTGGGATATGAAGGTCTTAGTTTACTGCTGGTATTGTACAGAAGTTTGGTCACTTCTGTTCAAAGATGTGCAAAACTTAGTTCTGCTTTATGGGTTTTTTTTATTTCATCAAAGAAAATTTGCTTTGCTCTAAAACTCATATGTTAATTTTGAGGTTTTGTCATTATTATGCAAAATACGTTATTAATTAGTGCTCAAAATTACATTATTAAGAGGGAAAATAAGAGCCCTACTCTTACTAATCTTTTTGTTGATACATAGAGATGTATCCAAGTGCTTGTGTATTTCTCACTCACAGTGACTGCATATACAAATTGAAAAGCAAATACAGTTTCTAGAATGATTGGTAAGAAAACCACACTCGGATGCATAAGTCATGCTAATAACTCTTCTAGGCATTAAATACTGGGCTACTCAAATTTAATGTAATCTGTCATCTTTTTGGTATTTATGCTTTATTTAGAAAAACAAAGCTGCATATATCGAACTAAATGCGCTGTTCACAGGAATTAACATAGACTTCCTCTATGCAGGAAAAAAAGTGGATGACTTTACTACAAGCTCTTCGTCATGACCATGAGACAGAAAAGTCCCTGGTAAGTGGCACAGCAAATTGCTTACACCTAAAGGAGACTTTTTTTTTTCTTTACCCTTTTAGTAATTCTTGGTATGCTCTAGTACATCTGCCAGACATCAAGAGTTTATAAGAGTGTGTCCTCTTAGCAGTATTTATCATCTCTGTGTTTCTGTTATGGTAGGATCTTGGTGTTTCATTTAGGCCAGGGCTGAAACTGAATTTATCATTTCAGAATTTGACAGAAAACTGAAACTGTATCTGTCTTCTGAAGAGCTTACAGCTGATTCTGTGAGCACTGTATTATACATTATTTTCTGTGTTATGTGGGTAAGCTTTATAGTTGAGATATGACTTGCCAACATGTTGCTTTCATCCACCCTATAGCTGCTGCTACCATGGACCTATGGCATATGTCTCAGTCTTTTTTTTCTCTTTCCTGTCACTTGTCTATTGCTTTTTCTGTTGTAGCTTTCTAATTTAGAATCTGTTCAGCTTTTCCAGGAGTAAATACCATAGCTTTTTATTTTGCATCAGTGTATATATTTTACTATACAAAGCTTTATTCCTCAGATTTTTTTTTTACATCTGCATTTCTTTTTAATCTCTTTCCTGCTTTGTTTCTCTTGCTTCTTTTCCTTTCATTTTCCTTTCATCTGCGTGACCATGTAAGAACTGAGCAAATCATAGTGGTCTGACCAATGCTTCTCCTCCTCTGGCAAGAAAACATTGGGGAGGAACCATGGAACAGTCCCCAAAAAGGATGTAGTTAAAGATACACCCACATACAGTGCAAGAATAGAATAAGGGAGGAGTAATGTAAGTATTACTTTTGGGATGGTGCACCTAAATAATGTTCTCTTTCTTCCACATCTGGAATTAATATACTAGGTTTAATATATAAATTCACACATCACCTCCTTAAAGTATCATTATTGGACACTGTTTATAATTAAAACACTTTTCTAGATTTATACACTTTTTCCTGCAATCTTATTTTTAGGAAATCTCAACAATGTGTTTATGTGTCATTTTCTTTATATTGAGATTTAGGCTTCTTCCTTGTGTAATTCAAAAGTGAGCCGGACAATTGTTTTATAATATACACAAGTCCTAGGGAAGTTGCAGAAAACATCAAGTTTTTGCTGAGAACAAAATAGTAAAAGTATCTAAGCATAACACCTCCTTGATTAGAGTTTATAGCATTAAAAATATTTTTATAGTGTTAATATGATATTACTTTTCTTCTGATTGCTTTCTAGCTACAGTCACAAATTGAGACAATCAAAACATCAGCGAGAGAAGACCTGAACAGAAATAACATCTTTTACAGGAAGAGGATAGAAGATTTGGAGCAGAGGCTTCAGGAGCAGAATGATCTGGTTATTTATCAGAAGAAGAAGGTCTGTTTTGTGAAAAACTCTGTTTCAGAGATCACAGGACACAGAGAAACACTATACTAGAATTTGATCTTTGATATTTCTCTGATGGCATATTTAATATTCACAGTTTGTAATAGTATTGCTGGAGTGGTTATGCTCGTGAAATTATGTTGATAAATAAGAATAGATCTGGAAAAGAGACACAGGAATTTAAACCAGGAATAAAAACACATTTGATAAAGAAAGGTTTAATAAACGAAAATTTTTTAATAGTGAAAGGGATTTAATCTGCTACAAAATAATCATAACGAGATCTAGTGTTTGAAATCTGCAAATGCATTACTTCTCACACTAAAAAAAAAGGTATCATATTCATTACTGTGAGAATAATTATTTAAAGTATTACCATGTGAATTGTAACAAGACCAAGTGCCAGATTCTCCACCTGAGATGGCGTAACCCTGGTTATACCCACAAACTGGGGAGCAGGAGGCAGGAGAGACGTCCTGCAGAAAGAGATCTGGGGGTTTGATGTGGTATCGAGCTGAATGTGAGTCATCAGTGCCCTGGCAGCCAGGAGGGCCAGCCATGTCCTGGGGTGCATCAGGCACAGCATCTCCAGCTGGTTGAGGGATGTCATTGTCCCACACTGCCTCACCTCGAGTCCTATGTGCGGTTTTGGGTGCCTCACTACAAGAAGGGCACCAGACTATTTCAGCGCATCCAGAGGAGGGTAAACAAGATGATCAGAGGTCTTGAGGGCGTTTTAGGAGGAGCAGATATTGTTACTTGGCTTGTTCAGCTTGGAGAAGAGAAGGCTAAGAGGTAATCTCATCACAGCATCAAGTGGGGCAGTGGAGGAGGAGATGCTGATCTCTCTGGTGATCAGTGATAGGACACAAGGAAATGGAATGAAGAAGGAGAGGTTCAGATTGGACATTAGGAAAGGGTTCTTCTCCCTGAGGGTTGTGCACTGGAACAGGCTTCCTAGGGAAGTGATCATGGCACTAAGCATGTCAGAGCTCTTGGCATGTCTGGACACTGCTCTTAGGTTTAAGGTTTAGGTAGTCCCGTGTGGGAATTGGACTTGATCCTTTTCTTAATCCACTAGCTCCCATCCAGTGTGAGATAGTCTATGATTCTATGTTTGGAGATGAGTTGGTTTTGCCTAAAATAAGGTTTAGTTGAAACATAATTATAGAATTTAGAGGTGATTGGTGGGGGAAGATCTGGGTAGTTTGGAATTTAGACTATGGTATGATTGTGTTGCCTATTCCTCTATTAAATGGTGCATTCTTTGTTAATCAACATCTGATTTTACACATTTTGCTTGAGATACATGTTAAACCTATACTTGAATGCTTAAAGAATGGAAAGATAAATAATAGCTTTTACATCTCCACCTTCATAAATTTTATAGCTGGAGAAATGGAGGATTTAATCATAGATTAATTTCCTTTAGTGACCACTGAAGTGGTCACTTTGCAAAGTGACCTTTGGAAAGATAACAATATGACCACAGATGTATAATAACTTCAGAGGAGTCCAAGTTTGTTTTCTGTGAAATACAGTGATGCAGATCTACATTCTCAATCCCTGGAAAATAGAAGGGCTTGAGAAATAGCTAACACTTTTACAGAATCCAAACTTAATGGACAATGAATACTACTGACTATAACCAAACTGATAAATAAAAGAGGATTAGGGTTGAATATCTTGTGCCAACTCCATCTGACAGTGGCTGTGTGTTTGAACGAATTGTGTTCTTCTTCTCTTTGGGGAATTGGATTGCAGAATATTGTTTAATGATATAGGATTCACAAGTTTCCTGTTTTCTTTAGATCACATTACAGCCAGTGTGTTTCCTTTACTCTGTCAGTTCAGTGCTTGTCCTGGGGTGTCAAATAGACAAACCTGTAAAGCAGAGAGTGCTGTTCATGCAGTTAAAAATCAACGTGTAATTAAACACTCCAGTGTTTCCCTGGAGTGGGAGTTAGGCTTGCAAAATGGAACGTGAATTGCTGAGGAAGAAAATATTGAAACTTTTAAGTGCTGAAGTGGCCTGTAAGTCTGCTCTCATTTGACTTTATAACTTGCAATAACAGGATGTACAAAGCATGAGTTCCCATTAAGACAACACAAAAACATTCATTAAGCATAAACAAAATACATATTTGGCACAGAAGTAGTATTTTTCTCCCCAAATCGTAACCAATAATTTCTGTTATGGAATAGTACTGAAACTAGGTATTTTATGCTAAATATTCATTCTAGATATTGATCCTGTACATTTATATCTATTCATGTATCTGTGTTTTCTCCTTTAGATAAAAGAATTGTCCACAAAACCACCTCCAAGTGTTAAAACATATGATGGTGAGTAAAAACTGTAAGAAAAAGCAGACAGTTTCTGATTTCTGCAGCCTGGCTGTAACAAATATAGGCATCAACTTGACTTACAAAATACTAAAATAAAATCAGTACTGGAAATGTATTTGTTTTTCACAGAGTACCTACCTGTTTCCATGCTACGATTTATGAAGATCATGTTTTGTAGCTGTAAAGACTTGTAATGCACAAAGTTGATTGCTTGAGTAGTGAAGAGATGTGAAATAGAACAACTTTATTTTGTATTATGTGAAAAACTTCCAGATTTGCTTTATGAAGTCGAATTTTTTTCATGTTTGACTGCTCTTAGGCTGCAGAACTCACAAAAGGAAAAACACAGAAAGACTAGACAGAACTGGTTAATTTGTCAGTTAAGACAGATGATCAAAGAATGTTAAGAATTCTTATATTTTTATCTGTGCAATACTTTAACATATGAAGTCTATTACAAATAGCTAAACCTGATAATAATATTTCAGGATGTTGCTCTGCACCACAAGCACCCACATAGTTAATGCTGCAGTTGCAGTGACTTAAAGTAAGTTTATTGCAGTAGGTGATGACAGATGAATTCTGATTCAGTTTGGAAACCATTTTGCTGTATTAACAAGGCACTGGCTTGAACTGAGTCAAACAGCAGGGAGTAGGTTTAGTTTGAGGAAGGCTTAGTAAGAGCATGGCCACGTGGCTTTTCAGCTGCAGCTGGTCATACTCATTCACCATTCACACTGAAGCACAGACAAGCAAAAGATCATGGCACGCAGGCAAATTTGCTCCTAGCCCCAAATGTAGGATTGAAGTGCAAATTAACTCCAAGGCTATGCTCTGTACATGATCTATAGATTTATGAGGGTTTGCACTCGTTGATGTCAAGTGTGGATGCTGCAGATCCTCTCTGGGGAATATGAGCCTCAGCCAGGAATTGGAGAAGTAGCTTTGGGCCAAGGCTTCTTCCTTGTAACACAAAACCAGCATGCACTTATGACCAAAAACATGACCACATTCCAGTCCAGTGATGATTTAGTTAGAAGTTTCTTTTTGTAATTACAGAAGTGTAAAAATGCTAAGCATATATAGAGATATACTTTTATGTTGTGAAGAAACTGGTTTTACTTCATAAATGTTTTATTTTTCCCATTAATGCAAAAAACTAATAAATTAATGAATATGATTAAATATTGCTACATTTAGGAATCTATATTTGTTACTATTTACTATAATACAATTCCATTATTTTTTTACTCTTATGGTATTTTAGTGAGCACTTCTGTAGAGCGTCTTCAAGAACCTAAACCAAGTCCATCAGTTACCCCACACTTACCACACGGTAAGGTTTTTGCTAAGTCCAGATCCAGTACTTTCAGATCTAACACTTTCTCTTCTTAGATATGTTGTTTGTCAAATCATGGGTCTAAGAGTAGTTATTTTGAAAGAACATAATTTGTATGTCAGAGTTGAGAATTTCTATGAAATAATTCTAAGGATGCACTACTGAGAAGAAAAAATGAAAAACAAAATAATTTGAGAATATTTCCTAGAATATGTATATTATTGAAGCACTTAGATGAAATTTATTACGGAAAAAATTGTACTTTCTATTGGAAAATATGCTTATCTGATATATGCATATACTGGATAGATACATGTGTCTACTGGAATTTGTATAGGGAAACATGTGGAGATGCTTGTTTAGAAGTCTTGAAATACTGTATTTTCCAGGTGACTTCAAATGACAAGAAGTAGAAATACAGAAGAAATAATCAAAATAGACAGTTATCTTGTCCTGGTTCTTCCAGAGTATATCTGTGGTTACATAGAGATCATTATTTAGGTATTTTGACTTGTGGCATTGTGGTATCCTTTAGAAGGGGAGGGGGACAAGGGAGCTATATTTGCATTGTTTTGTACTTTGTGGAAATAGCTTCATTTTTTAATCAGTATGCAAATTATTGGAGAGTATTGCTACCATACCAATATTCTGCAATCAACTAATTCTTTATTTTCCTTTTAAGTAATAAAGTAATGAAAAACGAGCAAGCAAAATGTTTAAAAATAGTTTATTAACTTGAATTATAATTAAATAATGTGTTTTTTTCTATTATTATTTCTCTTAGTTTTTAAATCTGTCACAGGGAGACTAAATGGAATTTGTCTGTGAAAAATGTAGATAATTTTTCAGCAAATACAAAAAAGTTCTGAAAATGCCTCTGTGGAGAAAGGGCACTCTATATAAAGCTTTTGATAACTTGATGAGGAATGAAAAACTCATCTAGCGCTAATTTTAAACTATTTGTTTTGACAATAATTATTTTAAAAAGGAAAACTGATTATATTGTTGCTAATTATTCTATGGCAACATTATTTGAATAATACAGATATTTCTAAGCTATGCAAAGTTTAGTAGTTCATTGCTTGTAGCTTTCTAAGCTAAACTATATGGATGAATATTGTGTAGACAAAAGTAATAGTACAATAAGTATAGACAATTAGGAAATAGCCTTTTAAACAATTAATTATTTTTCATTTAAGACAGCCTCATGACACCGGAAACAGTAGTTCTGGTTCTGGCTAAGAAGTCTCACAGCATGTAGTTTAGCAATCACCCTGAATTTAAGATTTATGTTTTATGAAGATTATTACTGCTAAGGGCTTACCCACCAGGCTTGTCAAGCACTAGTTATTTGGTGCATTTGCTTTCATTTGTATTGAGGACAGAAACAGTCCTGTGAATATTAGTATTTTCTGTACTCTGACAATTTAAATCAGCTCATTTAGATCTTTCATAATTTCTTGCTGCTTCAAATATGAAGTTTGTGACATCTTGTGAAACTTCTCAAGATAGAAAAGGCTGTTCCTGCCATTGTTACACAAAAGATTCACCATCAGTTTATTATGAAACCTCGAAGAAGGTGTTCCCTTCAGATTCCTTTTCTGATTACTATTTTATTTATCTCTGCAGGTCTCTCTGTCTGTCCCCTTTCTTCCCTTCTGGATTGTTTTTTAAACTTGCCTTACCTAATTTTCTGGAGGTTAGCAGAAGTTATGGTGTCTTTCCCGAAGTTTTCAGGACTCTCCAAGGGATTGATTTACTGAATTAAGACATCATGGCTGCATCTCATGCCTTTATGAAAATGAAAGCACTTCCTGGTAACTTCTGTAGACAAATTTATTTAGCACAGATCATCTTATAATTGCCTGCATATAAAATATCTTCATTCTTTTTTTTTTAATTAATTATAGAAAAGGCTCTCTAATGTGAACTTAAGTACACTTTTCAAAGCCACTCAGAAGCTTTTGCATCCTAATATTCGTTCTGCACATCTTAAATCTGTGTTACGAAAAGATACCCAAGTTGCAAATGTGCGTTATCTTAGGTGTAAAGCAGGAGAATAACCACATTAGTCTGGTGTTTACATGTTAATATTCCTGACTTCTTGTGAAAGCTAGTAGAGCTCCTTGAATGCTATCCTGGCAGAACATTCTTCTGTCCATTTCTGAGCTACCTGTATGGTTTTATGCAGATATCACTTAGGTCTTACTTTCAAAGATTACTTCAGTCTCACAAAAAGGCAATAGATTAATGACAATTTATTTTTTATAAAAATATTTTAAAATAAGGCTTTGTCTCCTATATTACTCTTGAAACGTTGATACTTGTTCAATATTTAGTCTTTGTTAGGTCAATAATATTAGGTGGAATTGAACACAGTTAAAAAGCAAAGCTACCAATTAGATTGTTCATTAAAACTTATGTCTCAGTCTACAAATATGGTGTGGAGACCAAGGCTCAGCTATCACTAGGGACATAGCTGAAGCATCTGAGGAAAACTTAGTTAAAGTACTTACTCTTCCTAGACAGTAAATAGAGAAAAGGGTTGCCTTCAGAGTTTGGTTCAGCTGAACTAAGATCTGAATGCTCTTTGGAGTTGCCTGTGTCTCTTTAATGACTGTAGAAGGAGTTTGAGGTGACCAGGCTCCTAACTTAGAGGCCTCAGGTAAGTGCCAAAAAAAATCACACTTAGGAATACTGGTTTAAAGTTAACATTTCTGCTGCTTTTGTGCAGTACGTGGCTTTCTATTGATCAGTTAAGAGAAAAAAATATATGAAGTGCATTAATTCAAAAACAGTGGTCCAAATTACAGGTATCACAGATTAAGTCTGGCAGCTCTTTGTATATGTAATTTGAGTATAAATTCAAGGAGTATATAATGAGTGTAGCCACGGCTTACATTCCTTACACCTTCAAGAAATGCAGTAGTTTAAAAAAAACAAATTTTACGTTTTTTCCTGGGTTGTTACATTGCAAGCGCAAAATATTTACTGCAGATGACACTACACCATAGATAATTTTATTGCTTCTGTTCAGGCTAAAAGTTCTTTAGCATTTCATATTTCAACATAAATAGATGGGATTTCTTCTTTAAGTGTTGGCCAGAAGACTGCTTTTGCAGTAGTACTGTCAGAATTTTGGGGTTTTGGGGTTTTTCTAGCTATTGGATAATAACAAATAATACATGACATGCATGAAACATACACAGCCTGAATCCTTTATTATTGTTGTTAAATATATTTTCCTATTCCACCTGCTTAGAATTTGTTTTCAAATACTCTTTAAAACAGGTATTTAATTATTTCTTAAAGTATTCTGGACACATAATTTTTCAGTAATATAATTATCCACTAAGAAATTAAGGTAACTTGTACTTTTGATACATCTGCTCTGTGTCTCCACACATACTAGCTGGCAGAAGAGAGACTCTGGAAGATATGGGATGATAGATCCATCACTGCTGGCCTTAATGATGGCTAGAATTAATATGGCTCATCACATGGCCAGAAGAAGCACATCTCTGGTAAATCTCAATAAGGCAAGGACTCCTTAAAGGGAGTCATCTCCACACTTGCCTATAAACCAGAGTAATGGTTTCTCTTAAATGTAATTCCAATGTGATGTTTGATAGATATCTCTTAAAGTATGTGTGCAGTGAAGAGAAAGAAAAGGCTTGTTTATGTAAGGGAAGTTGGTGTTTTCAGGTGTTGCACTCCCTCATGCCTTAGCATTTGATCTCTGTTACCATGCAGTGAATAACAGTATTACATATAATAGTAATGCATTTTGGGCCTGCTCTTGCAACTGTTCTTAGTAATTACTGATTTTTCATTTCCTCTGTTTCTGGTACACTGAGGAAGAGAAGCATGTACCTTAATGCCCAATCAGCAGACTGTTTGCAGGTCTAGGTTCTGGGGACTGGGATATTCCTATTATTAAGTCACTTGTTAAGGGCTTGTGCATAGATGAGTCTGCCCCTTTAAGCAGAAAACATTTGAGTAAAGTACAGGTAAAATAAGCATCGATTACATCCAACTACACAGCAACTGCCTTACTAGCTGGTAAGTCCAGCCAAGAAACTCAGGGGCCTCAGTGCCCATGCAGCTTAATATAATCTTCCCAGAACATTTCATCTGTGCTTCAGGCTCTGTCCTTCTAAACAGACACATTTCAGGCTTTTGGGAATGATTCCAAACTGTGTCTGAATACTGTTTTGGAGAATCTTAGTTGGTGAAGGGCAGCAGTGTGCCAGGAGCAGTAGTGTGGAGGATCTGCTCTGTGGAGGATCAGGAATGCTCTGGCCACTGGTAAATTTTACAGCCTTAGATTGAAAGACCAGAAGCCCATTTGTCTCTCAGAGTTTTGCTTCTAAATGTTTTTCTAATATATCTTGATATTTGCATCTTGTTAATGACTTGCGATGGTATAAGCATTTTATTAAAACTTCTTATTTAGTGCAAGTTCTGTGGGAGCAAATCTTAAGTCTGGTAATTGACTTGGAAAAGTAAGTGAGAGGCTGAATATCACCACAGGCCTGGAAAGCATGTAGAGAGCAGCTCCTGTACCCAAGCATTTGTGACACCAGATTTAATCCCCTTTGTTTGGGAAATATTGTGGCAGTGGCACTTAGCTCCAAATGCTCATTTCACTGTGATTCCAGTTCATCCATGTTTGTACCTGGTGTACAAGAAGTGCCACAAAACATCTTCATGCAGCATCATTTCCTCTCTTTCTACCCAGAGAGCATAACAACCATTTATAGTGCAAGAGGTTTTTTGTGAAGAATGGGGTAAATGCATGTAGCTCCAAAATACTGATTAATAAATTGTTTTCTTATAATACCCGTAGTTGAATGCTGAAAGTACAGTTTGCATACCTGTTTTTATTGCAAACCCTATAAGACACTCAAGCTCTAGTTTTCATTGATGTCAATTAATTAGTAGAAGGTGAATATTAACAATTTAAAACCTGAATACTTATTGGTCTACATACCTACATACAATCATTTTCAAGTGTGTCTTATATCTGAAGTTTATAAAGTTGTAAATAAACTGTAGTCTGGCTTCATTTTTATGCAACAAATTGTGCCTGACAACCTATAGAATGGTAAATTCAGTGTGTTTAGGAAGCTGTTTGCAGCTTTCAAGGATTCTTTAAAACACATGATTATACTGAACCTTTCTCATTTGGAGTGATTGGAGATTTTTAAAATTGGTTTTATTGGGAATTATCTCTATATATATGTTAAATCTGTCTTGAATGGACTCAGTACTTAATAACTCTCTGATATAGTGAGTTAATAAATTTTTTCATACATTTTTGAGGTTTAGTTTGTCCATTTCACTTCTTTTTTTTAAACTGTTAGTATAAAATTGCACATAAACAATCTTTTAAAGTACATATTTAAAAATTGCTTCTTATGAGAAATTAATGACAATATTGATTTACATAATCCTGGGTGGCCCTGTCATTGTAGACATCTAAAAAAACCCTACCTGGTGCCATTCCAGAAGTGGTGTGATGTATCAGTCAGCCTTGCACTGATGGCTTAAAACTCTCATATATCTGGCATGACACCATACACCTGTGTTTGGACAACAGAATCACTGCTGAAGTGACTATTTTATTAGGGTCTCTACAAAAATGTAACCCCAAGGCAGTGAAGAGTCATGTTGCAGTGGGTTTGTGATGGTTAAGCAGGTTGTCAGCAATCAAGAAAGTTGACATCAGTGTGGTGGTTTTTTTCCTGACTTTCCCTCCCTGGACCTTGACCTTTCTCTGTCCTTTTTGTCTGGTGTTCCTGTTCTTCCTCATTATTAGAGCAGGCACCCTTGGTGCATATGCTGGAGCCTATAGAGGAGCTTTCAGAAGAGGAAAAAGGTAATGATTGATTCAGCTCAAAATATGCTGGCATGTGTTTCTTGAAAACAAAAAATATTATTTGATTCCTACAGTATTTTTCATTGTATTTCATTATATTTGTGTGATTTGGGTGGGAACAGTGTTTGTGTCAGTCTCCTGTTTGCTATTGCTTGTAAATATTATGATTTCCTTATCCAAGTTCAATGTTTATATGAAAATCTGGCTAACTTCTTTAAAGCAGGCACATTCCAAATGCCTAAGTGGATTTGAACTAAGCAGGGCAAAAATGTTTGATGGGGAAATGCCCTTCACTAGAAAATTTTTGGTGCTGACATTATTGCAAAATGTGCTCCCTTCTTTTTAAACTCTGCATAAGAGGATAAAGAGTTCAGGTGGAAGGAAGTTGATGGTGGAGGTTGGAGCTGCCAGCTTTCATGAATGCATCGCAGATACTTTTACAAGTAACTAACTTGCACCTACCCATAATCAGGCACAGCTCTAGCCAGGATTGTGCAACTCAGAATAAAGTTACATATCCCAGCACTGGCAGCTGTTGTGCCTCTTCCAAGGAGAACTTGGAAAAGGCCACATATACAATGACAGAACTGAAAGCACTAGTTCATCCTGCATGGTATTCTTCTCCTGAAGGCAGCCTTAGGTGAAACACCAAATAGCTGAATAACATAAAAATCTCTTCTGTGAGTGAAAATCAAAATCAGTCTTGAACCCTACAGCTAGTGAGTTTAAATTTCAAAGGAATTATGCTGTTTTGAAAACAAAATCGTTGTTTGAATACATGTGTGTGTTGGGAGGTTTCCCCAGGGAAAATCCAGTGACTGAACAATCTGACATAAAGACTGCTTGCATTTTTGCCGTTCCTTCTGCTGTTTCTCTTGCTTGCCATCTTCTCTCTTGATGGATTGTCTTTGTTTCTTCTGCTGTGCCTAAAGGCATGGCCTGAAGTGCAGAAGAGAAAAAGAAAGAATGCTGTCTGAAAAGACAGACCAAGATTTTTTTGGTTTTGATGACAGTCATTTGTAAGGGAGAGTGTGAAAATTCTTGACTCAGATCATCGTTTTCTAGGATTATGTAGGAGCTGAAACAGTGGACCAGATGTAAGGTCCCTTGTCTCAAAAGTTAAATCTAGTATTTAGGGATGAATAAGAAAACAGTTCCTTAAATAATTGCTCTGGCAAAGAGGATTTGGCTTGAGTTAATTAGCAAGAATTCATATTGTCAGTAATTAGGATAATGCTAGATAGTCTTGTTACCCTTATTAGTATGCAGTAATTAGGAATTTAAAAATCAGTTTAAACTTATCTATTTTATTGTAAGGATTATCATTGGAAAGAGACAGGATTTTCAGAAGGCTCCTGGTAGACTTCCACTTTAAAATGTCTCATGTATGGCTTTCTGGGAGGATTTTGTACTGAATAGTGCCATCTTGTCCTGACTGGGGATAGTCAGATAGCCCTTAAGACCAGTTCCTTAAGACCAGTTTTTTGCCCCTTCTAGGACTCAGTTCTCTTGACAAATCTGTTTTAATCTCATCTCTGTCAGGGACTGAGTTGTCCGCACAGTTCTCAAAAGCAGATAAGATTTCAGCCTGATTATGTCCTCTTCAACACAGATCTAATAGTATGGCAGCTGGACTCTCTTTCCATTTTCATTACCTATAATTCTCTCCAGGACCCCATGGGAAGCCAGTTCCTCCAAATTGCCTGATATGTCATTTGTGCATTTTGAGGCTTTTCTGTCTTCTCTTTAGGGTGCTTGTGTTTCCCTTAAAGAAAAATGAAAAGTAAATGAAACTGCTTTCTAATAAACTGACATTGTTTACAAATAGAAAAAGTGCCACATCTGTTTCAAAATAAAATATTTGAAAGTCACAAATATGGAATTATGGCTTCATTCCTATCCTTGTCTATTGGGTGGCAGATGACTCTGCTGCCATGCAAGGTGTGCTGGGAAGAGACAGACTCCTGCCCAAGATTTTCCTGTTGTTTCAGGGGAGCTGGGAGTGTGATTTACAGCATGCTTTCCTGGGATGTTTTATACTCTTTGTCAGTTTTGCTGATCACTGCCAAACAGCAGCAGTTATCATGGTTCCACAGGTTATCACTGCATTTACTTTAAGTGACATTCAGTAAAATTTTGTCTTGCCAGGGACACTTTATAGACAGGTTCCAAGTGGGTGTGTTTTTCTTCTTTACTCTCCTGTATGACCCTATAATACTTTGGCCTAACTTAAATGTCATTCTTCATTTTAGATGGAAGAATCTGTCTAGATGATTCTTTATTTCTTGCATAAGAGTTCTTTATTGACACAAGAGTCATTAGTGACACTTAAAGCAAGGGAAAGGAACTTCTTTGTCTGCTTTTAAATATGTGTGATGTCATAGACTTGCATAGATGAAAACATGACACTGAACTTTGTCCTTGAAAGATTTTTGAAGATGACTATTATCCATCATGTGTTTTCTGAAGCAATCTGCCTCAGACTAGGATTCTGTCTTCACCAAGACTTTTGAAAGTGTTACAACTTTGCAAAGGTTTAATTTCATTAGATGATTTTATCAGAGAACATCATGTTGCTTGAAGCTTTTCTTAAGGAAATGTTTGTAGTATTCTCATTCTGATTCCTGCTAGAATTTAGCTTTTCATTGAAATACCATGTTTAGAGAACTTAAGTATCAGAAGATAGTCTTTCTTTATCAGAAGTTTTAAAATACAATGCTAAAAGTAAAGATCTTTGTTGCCAAATATTCAGCACCGTATCTTTACAGTGATTCTGTAACAAGAGCAATAAAAGATACTTGTGATGGTGAGTACAAGGTGCTGAGGTACAGATTCCAAATGAGCTGGCTTTTGTAAGCTAGCCCACTATTTGGAAAATGACACAATTCCATGTAGATAAAAAGTGCACATATATGTCTATGCTGTTTCTAAAGAATGCATGCTTCAGTGCAGTTTTTAATTATCTAATGTAATGTGGATTTTTAAAATATGTCTTAACAGCATTTTTCCTTCTTATTTCAGAAACTGAGAAAATTGATCTAAAACCAGATAGAAGTAACTACTATTTGATAAATGCTCTGAAGTCTGATCCTTCTTTAACTAAAGAATTGAGAGTTGTTTTGGAGCAAGCTCTGGAGGAGAAGCTGGAATCCTTGGGAATTAAAGCAGTAAGAATATTGAATTATTTAAAAGAAGGGTGATCTTTGTACCACTTTTCTTCTGTTCTCTTTTGCTCCTGGACTGCAATTCTCAACCTATAAAATCCAAAGCTAAATTTCTGTGTTTTAAATAAATGTAATTCCTTAACCACTAACCTGAGAGGATGGCCATCAAATTACAGCTGCAGAGGATATGGCTACACTTGTGAGCAATGTTATCAACTTCTGTGATTTTCCAACCAACTTCGTGATATCTGAAGTCTAAAAGAGCATTTACAATACAATTTGTTTCCATAGGGTGTTCGTGGAATATCAAATGATCGCTTAAATAAAATATTGCGAGCTATTGAATGTGCCAGAGAACGCAAAGAGAAGCTGGAGCCCACCATTCATGGAATTCGAGAGCGTCTTCAACGTCAGCTTGGCTTTCGGGTTGAAGAGAAATCATTATCTTCTAGCAGACTTGATTCCTGTGCTCATCTTCCCTGTGAAGGTTACAGTGGATTTTGGGGCTTATTTTATTGTCTTAGGTTTTATAACTGCTATTTAAAGTCTTATTTAACAACATTTCTGTATAGCTGCTTTCCTGCTTTTCCATATCAATATTCAATATAGTTATGGACAGCTAAACTGTTTTCTTTAAAGAATCCTTGACATGGTGTTTAACAGCAAATATCTTAGCTCTGGCAAGATACATAGTGCTGTGTTGGGAGTGTAGCACTTTGGCAGCAAATAAACCTCCGTGCTTTCCATCTGGTCCTCACAGATGTGAAGGGCTGAGTATGGCTGCACTTAATGTCTACTTTTAACAAATTCAGCATTGTAAGTCTGGCCATGTTCCCAGGTGCACCAGTAGTGTGGGCTACAGTCTGAGTCTGGTCTTGTTTTGTGATCCCAGATTCGCCAACAGTGACACCTTAGCCTCAATTGCTCTTTGCTGGCTGACTGCAGTGATAAGGGTCATCCAGCCTCTGCCTGATAACCTACCACCCCCTCAGCATGCCATCATGGCCACAGAATCCCTTAGCTACTCATCTCATAGCATATCTCATGGAATTCCATCATATATTTCATCATTATAGGCCTCATTCCTATATTATCCACCCTGTCTACAGTCACACCTTCAATTTGGTGCCCCTATTTAATGGATTTTTGGGGGGTCTCTGTAGGGCAATTGCTCATACCTCTCCTCCACACCTTTCATTATACCACACCGAGACCTTATGTATTTCTGACAGATTATCCAGATTTTTACATACATGTCTATGATCAAAGCAAAATATATTAGAGTCAGATTTAACATAACAACAACAGGATGAAGTAGTTTATTGGAAATTCCTCTAGCTGTGAGTGACCATCTGAAAAGGGAGTCTGACCACTGATGCTGTCCATCTTACTTCTTACTGTATTCTTAACAAGGTCCTAAGGAAAATTGATTAGATGCCACCAGGACTGAAATTCCCTTTCAAATTCAGTGGCACCTTTCTAATTTCAGTAGGCAAAGTGCCCTCATCTCCTTCCCTTATATTTCAGTAAATTTTACCAGTGAGAAGTGTGTGTGTGGTGCAGAATATACTCTGGTCACCATAATGATTAGCTTAGATAGAAGCAGTGAGAGTCTTCACCTTGCAGGTCCAGCTTGTTGATGTGTGAACCAAATTTGGTTCATAATGGCAATAGTTGCTTCTACAACAAGGATAAGCAGTCCTAAGATGGTTAACTTGATCTTCATTGAAGATATGCTGGCATCATTCCCAGTATCATTCCTGGAAAAGGAAAGCAATACAGCTTTCATTAGGATTTGTCCAGACAAGTTATCCTTTAGTGGCTAAACTTGTTTAACTGTTCGGACTAATGATTCAAGTCCCTTTTTCCAGCTCAGAATATCTCTGTTCTGTCTCTTTAAATGCAGTTGGGCTGAATCTCTCTGGTCCATCAGGGCCAGTGTGAAACAGGCTGCAGTGCCATGCTCTCAACAGAGCTCCATTTTGCTGTAATAGGGTCACTGTGGGACCAAGCTCTGGAACTGCTTCATGTGTTGCTCAGTCCACTCCCATGACTTTCCTTTTTTAAGCAAACTGTACAAGGAGTAGGCAATAATAGAGAAACCAGGGATGTTTGCACCAATATCCTAAAGTTCCCATTAACTGTTGCAGTTTTTTTAATCTAGACAGTCTACCAATGCTCTATTTTTCCAAGGTGTTAGAAGCCATCAGGCTCTGGGAAACTTAACCTCCATTGGGCCCTTGACACTTGGATGTAGGAATGTCTAAACCTAAGGCTGTTAACCCATTCTTCCCCTTTTCTGTTGTACAGGCAACCTCCATGGGGTCTTCTCCATGTGGTGTTGTATCACTGTGATGCAAAAGCATAACTAAGGCCCCATACCAGGTGCATGAACAGTCTGTTAAACATAGGTCTGGTTATATTCTAAAGATCTAGTCTATTAAATACAACCTATGTGATTCTTTTGGATTGCCAGAAATATATATACACACATATTATACATAGATAGATAGATAGATAGATAGATAGATAGATAGATAGATAGATAGATAGATAGATAGATATAGATACTCATTTTTATGTATATGTATAAATATTAACTTCAGGGTAGCTCTTTGTAGCACTAACATTACAATTTCAATCACAGGCTTGATTTCCTGGGTCAAAACACTTGGCATAACCAAGGATTCAATTCTGAAAGATGTCTGATCTCTGAGGACCAGCTGTAAACAAGGAGGCTTATTTTCTGCCAAATTGCTACCCTTTTTAATCAAACACACGGTAACTCTGAAGTGCTTGGAAGAAAAGAATTGCATTTTTTCTTCTTTTTTTTTTTTGTGAAACTATAGTCTGCAGCAGAGACATCTTTAATTGTAGAAATTAAATGTGAAGGATACCAAACATTGATTGTAAGAATGACATAAATAACTTTTCTTGTAGAAAAACACAGGTTCAATCCATTGGGAATATCCTCATTTGCCACACCTCAAAAACCATCAAAGTGGTCTCCATCAACTGCCCGCCCACCTGGACAAAGAGCAATCATCCCTGATTACAGTTCTACGCCAAAGTAAGAGATGCCTTTCTAAAAACTCTCATACCTCAGATAACAGTCCTATGGGTTTGGGTTTTTGTGGCTGATGTGAACATTTCCTTGATTGTAAGAATTAAGGAAAGAATTCCTGTAACTTCCATATAAACCTTATGTTTGCGGTAAGTCTTGAAATAACTTGTCTCATTGTTTTTAGACCCAAGAAGATTCTTGGAAGTGGAGTTTCCAGAAAGACACCTAGCATCACGTATGTTATGTTCCCTTGCCTTTTTGAAGAAGACATTTTTGGTGACATGTTTGCCACACAAAAACTATTATTAAGCTAAAATCGTAACGCTCTCTGGGCTGCATACTTCGTTTTTTGGTTTAAAGTGTTATTCCATTTGAGTGTGTTATTATAATCCCTGAAAAGATAGCATGTTTTTCTTTCAGCATATGTATTCTTTGTTGTGGTTGAGAAAGAGAGCTATTCAATAAGATCAATAACTTCCTTTAGTTTCTCTCTTAGATGCTTTTTCTGACTGTGTTAAAAGCATTTAGAGACTTTGGTGACCTAATTTTTTCAATTTATTGCTATTTTCATACTGCAACCAAAATTAAGTACAGTATTCCATGTTCCATTCACATCAGGTACATTACTTTGCCACTTCCTGCACTGAAAAATTCCCACATCTAGCTGATGTCACAAGAGACTTCATGTGGCACAGATTCCTTGAAATTTGCTTTACCTGCTGATCCATGAAAGCCCATCTGTGTTTGCCTGGCAAGATTTGTTTTATATTAGTCTCTTGTTTTGTAAAGATGGTTGCATAAATGGAAAGAGTCATGTATGTATAAGAGAGCATTTTGGGATAACTTTCTGAGTTTAATTAGCAGTATGATTTCTTTTAATTTTTTTTCAATAGTTAAAATTTAGGGGAGATTCTGCCTTTTTGCACTAAGAAAAATGCACATTATTGGGAAGGAAAATACAAGGAAGCTTAAACGTGTATGTGTTGGTGCGTGCACTGAAACCCAGTGAGTGCTCATATTGTCTGTGGTTTTCCTTAGAACACCACCATTCAGTTCAGAGGAAGAAGCTGATGAAGATGATATTAAACAGTCTAATATAGCACCAGAGAAATTGCAAAAGCGGTCAAAACCATCAAGCAGCATAGTCCATGCTTTTCAGAAGCCTTCTGGCAAAAGTGATGGGGATGCAAAATGGGAGGAAAATGGAAGTGAAGAAACTGGAACACCTGCCAAAACTCCTAAAGGTTTTTCATTGCATTTGTATATGGATGTTGTAACAGTTGTGCATGATTTTGCATTTCACTGTAATATTTCTGTGTTAGAAAACATAATGAAGGCAGACTACCTAGTCTTGAGTGTATATATATATATATAGGTAAACACTTTGTGCTTTTCTGTTAATGTATTAGAGATGTGTATCATGCGCTTCTATACAAATGCAGAAAATTATACAATCTTTGTCTCAGAGAGATTTCTTTTACTTTTTTTTACTTTGGGGAAGATTTCTAGAGGGTTTACAGTGAATTCCCTCCTTGCAAATAGAAACTGTCAATTTAAAATTTTTTCTGAATTTTAGGAACAGTTATTCAAAAACTGGCCAAGCAAGTTGGAGATACTCTTTCTAACCATGGAAATAAGAACAAACCAGCTGGAGGAATTAATGTTGCACAGGCATTTATTAAGAAAGAAGAAGTGAAAGAACCGAAGGTATAACTTTTAATATTACCATTATTACACTAAGTAATTTACCTATATGTATGTTCCTTTTTTTTCTTCATGCTGAAATCATCTTGATGCAGCAAAGAACTTAATTCTCCAAGACAGTTTTGGAATTATAGCTAAGTAGTCTTTTTGGGTATACCTGCACTGGTGTATAGCAAAGTGCTAGCAAGGGACCAGTGGCAAGTGACTTCATCCACACTGCTTTTTTAGCTTATACCTTTATTGGTTTGGATCACTACAGCTCAAAGTTTGGGCATGATATCATTCTTCTAGTCTAGCAGCATAGAGAGTCATCCTTTACTTGTTTTCCTAGTGTCTTGTTTTGATGGAGGAAAAAAGGAATTTGCTTATCTAATATTTAAAAACATTATTACTAGGGCTTTATCTAATATGGGTCTCTCAAATACATTTTAATGAGAGGACAGATTCCATTGGTCTTTGTTCTGCATCAATCCACAATCACATACTGCTTTCAGACTACATGAAATCTGTTGCTGTCCATTGAACATGGCATGTGTTCACCAGCAGAATACAAACACAATGGATTCTTTAGCCCTCAGGCTCCTAAGGTCCTGGTCTTCTCAGTTTAGAGTACTATAAGTGGTACACCGTTTTGCTGCAATTTGGGATGTTTGCCTGAGCAATTTTTAAAAGGACCATAAGTTACTCCAAATGAGAAGTGAACAGCAGATAGTGATTTATTTTCAGTTTGAGTAGTTGTTACTAGATTGAAGTAGACAGACAGGTACTAGTTATAGCATTCAATACAGTATTTTTTCACCTAATTAGCAAATAATAATTACTGAGAATCCTGTTATCTATAATAAAACTGATACCTTAGGGCTCCCTGACTGTGAGTTAAATATGAAACTCATCACTCCCCCCGGAAAGAGAGACACTTCTATTTCATTTTCTCGAATGGGATGATTGTCTTAATCAACTTTGGCCATGAGGGTAGCATAATGACATTTAGCCTGTGTCCTTGTAATTGCCATTGATGACACCTAAGTTGTCCTTTGGATGTGTGGGAGCTGCAAATCGCACCAGACTCAAAATTATCAACGCAGACATGACTATTACAGTACAATTTTCTATCTAGTGTTACTTCCAATTTCTTTGTAATGTTAGATTTTACAAGACCATAAAGTGTTCACAGTTAAATTGGCAGGATGATTTTGTAAAGATCTTTAGATGGTGGGTCATTGTATTCAGGAATTTGGGCTTTAAGAGCAAAGACCTGTAGCAAAATAAACCTTAAAACCTATGTTTTAAAAATGCCATGGTTTTCACTGATAATCTCCCTTCTCACATTTTTCAAGCTCCTGAACCTTAAGGCAAGTATTGGGGGAATGAAATCCCTCCTATTGTTGTAGAAGGTTGGGTTTGAGATCCCCAGAGAAGCCTGAACATATATAAGTCCATGGGACCCCATGAGATGCTTCCCAGGGTCCTAAGGAAATTGGTTGAAACAGTTGCCAAACCGTTCTTCCATGATAATTGAAAAGTCATCTGTAGTCTCTGACTGAAAAAAGGAAAATAAACCCTTTATTTTTTTAAGTAAGAAGGAGAACCCTGGGAACTACTGGCCTGTTAGTTTCACTTCTGTGCCCAGAAAGATCATGGAACAGAACCTTCTGGAAAGAAAATTAGAATATAATGAAAAGACAGTAGGTTTAGATTAGATCTTAGGAAGAAATTCTTTGTGAGACACTGGAACAGGTTACCCAAAGAAACTGTGGATGCCCCGTCCCTGGAAGGGTTCAAGGCCAGGTTGGAGGGGGCTTTGAGTAACCTGGTCTAGTGGAAGGTGTTTCTGTGTATGGTGGGGGAGTTCAACTCCATGATCTTTGAGGTCTCTTCCAACCCACACCTTTCCATCATTTTATGAAAAATATTGTTGCTATAATTCATTTAGAATACATTGTGTCCCTGATGCATCCTGTATGGACACAATGAGTTCAGAATAAGCTTATGAAACCAGGGTAGGCACTGCTACTTTTTTCCTGGAATCTTTACAGCATACACAAGACCATCTTGTATGCTTTGGTAATTACATGCATATACTTATGCTCATATTTATATGTTTAATGTAGACGTCTTTATGTAAGTCTTTGAGTTAATAAAACTGTTTAACAGTTTTGATTGGTGCCATGTATTTACACTCAATCAAAACTGAATTTTGTTTGAAGTTGATGTGGTTATTTGTAATTTTTTTCTATTTTAACAATCATTTGGGATTTCTTGAATGTTTGAGGAAACTCTTCCTCCAGCATTTCTCAATATATGTGACCGACCTTCTCATTACCACGCCCTGCAAATGCAGATAATTTGAAACAGCACAATAATGAATTCTGGTATGTTAATAATACAGCATACTGAGCAGATCTGTCAGGTTTTGAAAAACAGTTTGCAATGTTAAAATGGAGTTATGTTGCAAGATAAAGCTTTACTGCAGTCTCTTCCCCACTTTCGAGACACACAACACGTTCATATTTGTTGATTTTTCTCTAGTATATACATACCTTACATTGTTTTCTAATAGCTTCTGAACCCTCCTTCTGTGCAATGGAAGCACCATCTAGATACTTACTGTAACACTGGAGACTCCAGTGAAATAAGGTTTTAGCTTTGTGAGAAACAAAATATTGTTTGCTTTCCACAGTTAAATTCTCTAAAAATATCTCAAATCCATCGAACCATGTCTGACTGAAAAATAGGGAAATGCTGTAGCTCTTCTTGCTAAAGCTCAATGAAGATATTTATTTCTCAGGCAGATGAGGTAAGAGAGACCATGGACTCATTACCTTCAGGTTCATCTGTTTGAATTGACTCTCATTTTGTGAACTTAGTATACAAATCCACCACTCAATTAAAATATGGTTGTACATGCTGACACTGAGTCTTGAGAGGAATGTATATTTAAAGTTTGAGCACCATGTGGTTTTTAAAATTTTCATTATTTAATTTTCTCTTTAAATAAATTAATTTTAAATTGAAAAGGCCTTTACTGAAATATTTTTTCCAAGTTTGACTACAGAATGCTTGTAAACTGCCACCTTGCATGTCATATCTTTATTTTCATGTAAGTAATCTACATTCTAATGCTTAAAGGACTCTGCTCTCACTGGAATATCCCAGAAAAGATAATCCTTTAGTTTTGGAACGAAAACAGTGAATTAATATAATTTAGGTAATTGAATTAATGTGGAATTTGAAATTGTGATGATAGATTTCATAAAGGCCATGTGCCAGTGCATTTTTCTTTAGTAGTTTCACATTGTTGAGTTTAGGAAAGAACTCAGCACAGCTTGAACAGACAGAGGAAAAATGCCTGTTTTTTCTTCCTGTTAGCTCACAGAAGCTGTTGAAGATGATTGGGCTATTTCATCAGTAGAGGAAGACATTTTATTGATGAAAGATGACAGAGGTCAGAAGGCGATGACAGTTCAGAAAAATGAGCCCAATTCTGCATCTGTGGTACATGCATGGGGCCTTCCCAAGAAAAGTGCACCAAAGGAGGAAGGTAACATATTCATAAGTGACTGACCCACCTAGAGGAGGATTAAATACGGTGTATTACACATTGTAATTCAATAAATGGTGTTTTGTAAGAAAATAACAAGAACTCCTCTGTGTTTGGTTTCTTGCCATACAAATATCGTGTTTTTATGATATATGATTTATATGATACATAAACCACACACTCATATAAATATACAGCGATGACAACTTAAATTTGAGATTTTAAACCATAATATTATCAGTCTTCAACCCAATTTAAAAAAATAATCATTGGAGATTTTTTTTTCTTCCCAAATTTAAGGGAGAAGGGAGCTCACTTTGTATTGAGAATAATAACAACATTTCAGGTTTGTTTGAGATATCTAACTGACTTAACAGGCTGAGATAAATATTTGAACTAGTGTTAAAGCAAAAGCCTCAATCTTACATGTAATTTATATAGGAGTTTCCAACCCTTTCAATGTATGTAAAGGTTAAAGCTGTGTCAGTTATGTAAAGATACTTTTGATTTTTTTTGAAGGGAAAGTAAGGTTGACACTGACTGTTTGTACTATGCTTTATGTTCTGTGAGAGAAACAATCTACCTATTATCAACACTTGTCATTTCCTTACTGGCTGCAGTTTGGGACTTCCTGAAGTCCACAGGTGTTTGCTCACATTGCATGTCATTTTATCTTATAGACAAATACAAAGTAAAAATATCCACAAAAGAGTGTTATTAGTTGTTAATTGTTTTGTCTGTTTGTTTTAACAGGCCTTCATGAAGCTGATAATACAAGCACGTTAAAAAGCAGCCTAGTCACTGTGACAGACTGGAGTGATTCTTCAGATATATAATTGTTCCATTCCTGATGGGAGATCCTGCTTTTGGGATCTGCTGGGATTCAAAATGCAGGTGAAAATATCAAGTGTTTCCCAGTAACTTCTTTTATTGGTCCTGTAATAACAAGGAATACTGTTTACAGAGCTCTTGTGTCTTTCAGTCGGACTCTGAAAAAGAATATTGAAATATGCATTACTAGCCATGTCTGTTTGGAAGCAAAGTAATTCTTCTCCCTCTTTGTGGCAGTTTAACCCCAGCCAAGCCCCACGCAGCCACTCACTCACTCCCTCACCTGTTGAACTGGGGAGAGACTTGAAAGAGTAAAAGTGAGAAAACTCGTGGGTTGAGAGCAAGGCAGTTCAATAGGGAAAGCAAAAGCCACACACACAAGCAAAGCAAAACAAGGAATTAATTCACTGCTCCTCATGAGCAGACAGGTGTTCAGCCATCCCTGGAGAGCAAGGCCCCATTACCTATAATGGGGTCTTGGAAAGACAAATGCCATCACTCCAAATGTCTTCCTCTCCCTCCTTCTTCCCCCAGTGTATATACTGAGCATGATGTCACATGGTCTGGAATATCCCTTTTGTCAGTTTGTGTCACCTGTCCCATTTGTGTCCCCTCCAAACCTCCCGTGCACCCCCAATTTCCTCGCCGATATGTTGGTATGAAAAATAGAAAAGGCTCTGTGTAAGCCCTGCTCAGCAATACCAAAAACATCTCTATTATCAACTCTGTGTCCAGCACAAATACAAGACACAGCCACATACCAGCCATGGTGAAGAAGAATACCTCTACCCCAGCCAAAACCAGAACACTCATGATTTCAGTGGTGAAAGTCTCTTTCATTTCTCTGAGGTGAAGATTTTGCCTCTAATGTTTACACTAAGGATTGAAACTGGTCTTGCAAGAAAGCCTGTTAACCAATGAATAGAATATACTGCAGAGTATTACTTTATACAATTTTTAATGCATATTTTCTTGTATTTTATCATGAACTTTATATAAAATTGTCAACATTTTAAAGAAAATATGTCCATGTATTAAACTGTTAAGTTTCTACCATGGTTTACAATAAATACCAAATGAAAACAAAAAAGCCTCAGCTCTAAAACTAATCATCATTAAATGCCTTCTATATGAGGAAGCTGGTTTGCTGGGGTTTTTTTGTATTGGAGTTGAGTCTTTGTTAGTATAAAAGGACAACTGGAAAAAAATTACAATGTCAAGCCACAATAAAGAAAGCACTGACCTGCCATTGGAGAAATACTTGACATTTCTGGTTTGTCCGTATTAGCTGCCTTCTTAAAAGTACACAGTAGTATTTCGACTTAAATGATGTACAAAAATCACATAAAATGTAAAAAAGAACCTTGACTTTGTAGTTCTAATGTAATTTAGATAATATCAGAACACAACTTTTTCTATACCGTGCCATTATTAAATAGGACTGTTCATTTTTAATATTTGCACTGTTGTTCCACAATAACCAATTCTTATTGAAACTCCACAGGTCCATCAGTTCAAACTTCACAACAAACCTGAGTTGTGTCTGATTTTAGGGACTCAGTCTAGAAAGCATTTTGTGGTTATTTGTAATCTCTGTTCTTATTTATTGACTTGTACAAATGCTCCCTCAAAAGTCATCGTATTTCCATGGACAGACAAAGAATAAATACTAGCTGAATTTTTGAATTGCAATATGCCAATACAATGTGTGTGATGCCATTCCCATAAGCAGCTGACATGAGAAACTGAATTAGTAAATACCTCATTTATTTTTTTTTCAAGAATGCAACATCAGCTCATGATTTCCAGGTACAAACTTTACAATACCAACATCAATCTTAAAATATTATATAATAAAATTTACATCAATATGTAAAAAGCTGCAAGTTAATATTTGTAAAAGTCATTAGTGGTAAGTACATTGGGGTTGGGGTGGGGGGAATCACTCTGAATGAAACGTACAAAATCATGTTTTAAAACTCTTTGAGTCTTCCAAGAGTGCAACTAAACATAAGCGTTCTTGTCAAAGTGCTTGGGTGGGGTTTTGTCAGGGACACTGTTGTGGACCTTTGTACGAGAAGACATCACAGATGTGGCTCCATTATAGGCATACCCCCTCCTGAAGAGAAAAAAACCAACAATTTACAGCTTATCCCACAGACAGGTGACATCTCTGCATCCAGGCATTCTAGTAATAAAGCTAGAAGAAATGAATGGGAGTGTACCTACAAATTTCAGGGGAGGGGGCAGGTTCCTACTCTGTGTGGTCCCATTCTAGTCAAACATTGCCACTCCAGCTATTTGTCTTTGCATCTGTCTTTACACTTTTCTGTAACATATCCCTCGTTCAGAGCTAAGTAAATTATGGCCTAATCATGAAATAATTTAAATTGTGGCAGATCCCAGGTGTATCTCCCTACAGCTGTTCCTCTTTGTTATCATCCCTCTTCAGCTGCTGGAGGTGCCACTGCCACTACTGCTTGCTTTTGATCTGATGATTTAAGATCAAAGAAACGTGTCTATTCACACCTGTACAGCCACCTGACCACTCTTCCTACATCAGTGAATGCACTGTTTTGCAGCTGTAGTAAATTTATGGAATATATATATGCATATATATATCTCACAAGTATTTGTTCTGAGTCAATAGCTTTTCTTAATTACATTAATGGTGGACAGAGCGTTATCCTTAAATCCCCTTATTTTCTTTTGTCCACACAATCTTTTTCAGAATCTCATTACAAAGTGTTTTGGAACAGTAATCAAACTGCATGTATATAGCAAATAAGAATTCAGAGGTATTGATTTCTTTTAGTTAGTACAACTTGTGTTTTACCTTGCAGAATTACTGTTTTCAGCTATTGAGAAGCAGAATATAATTCCACCAATTATGCAGAGTGAAGCTCCAGCCCATCCAATGAACAAAGCTGCTCCTAATTCATACCTACAAGAAGTCAATAAATGTATTTAACAAAAGAGAGCATGGATTTAACTGGGTTATTTCCAGAATAAAATAACCAAATATAATATTTTTCTTGAATAACTTTCCACTGAAACATAAATTATTCACCACAAAATCAGCAGCTCTGCCATTCACCCACATTCTTTTCATTATTTCCCTCTGACTCAGGATGCAAACTCTGTCCCTGCAGTACACTTGGGCAATGCTTCTCTCCCTGCTCAGTCAGGGTTATGGGTTAGGGAAAGGCCTGGCCTTTGTGCATCTCCTCCTGGATTGCTTTGCTGTGGGGTTACGTCATTCTTTGGCTTGTTTACAGCACCAGCTCCTCCATTTCAGTTTTGTTCCTGTTGGCTCCCAAAGCAAACTGGACTGGGGCTTTTGCTGGGCCAGAAACTACAAATTCTGCCTACAACTCTCCTTAAGTTTCCCCTCTGGCTCTCAGGATCTTTCTGACTCCCTCCTCCATCATCCACACACCAGCCTGCTTAAAACATGAGGATTTGTACATATGCATAATGTGCATATGCAATATACATGCACAGGTGTGTCTGGTATAAGCATTTGCACACACAGGTGCATGTTCCAGCATCTTTCTCCTTCTCTAGTCCCTGTGGCCAGATTCTATCTGGAAGAAACTGCTCCCAGGCACATCCATGGGCAAAGCTCCCAGTCACCAGCAATGATTCCCTCTGCTGCCCAGGCCAGCCACAAACTGTTTGCTGCCAGGAACTGCTCTGTCCCTGAGAGGAGACAGTGGTGCTTTAGAAGCATTATCCCACAAAGTCCATGTTTCTAAAGCAACAATAGTAAATGAAGGGAAAGAAGGGCATTGGGAAGAGACTCTCTTCTTTTCCCTCAGTGCTGAAGCTTCAAGACAAGCAGCAAACCATGTATGGTCCTTGTCTGCTCCATTTCCCAGCTCCTTGCCCAACTTCCACTCTTAAAGCACTTTTAGGATGACCTGCATTAGGCTGCAGCCCAACTGTCACCAGAGTCTCCTGTTCTTCACCTTTAAAACACATTTGTGTGTCTCTTGCTCTTTTTCTGCTGCAGTTTCCCCTTAAGGAGATCTTTATCTCCTCCAGACTTCTGGGATCCTGCATGGAAATACAGGCCCCTGTCCCCCATCCAGCCACAATTATCAACAAGGAGTCTGTGCTGTTCTATCAATTGATTTGTTGTAAACTGTGGTGAGGCAGCCAAATAAAACAGCCTGCCTGTGCAACTGCGACACTGTGTAGTTACACTTCTCATCTAGTTCTGAACATTTCCACGTGCACAGGCCCTAATTCCACATTATCAAAATATCTAACTGAAAATGCCTGTCAGCTGTTCTTGTATCTTTACAAAATGGCACTGCAGAAAAACTCAAAAAGAGTCCAGTGAGGTGTTAGAAGCCCTGGACCATAAATCATCACTGGACCAAGAGGCACATGCAAGATTCGTGAAGGGCACGTGAGGATCAGGTGCACAGACTGTGAGGGCATAAAGACCCAGGGATTTCTTTGTTCAGGCTCCCTCTCTGGAGACACCAAGCTCTAGCTGAAATAAACTGACTCTGCCTCAGAATCCTTGCTCAACACCAGCATGGGGCTCACAGACCCAATCCCCTATTTAAACTGCTGGGAACCATAGCTCCTTCCACCCTGGAAAACTCTCCACTCAGTCCCGTTTTACTTCAAAATCTGCCAAAACTGTAAAATTTTCATTCTACTTATGCTCACATTTCCAACCACCTTGGTATACTTTTCACATGACTCAAGGAGATTTCTGTCTCTCCACGGACAAGGAGTTCTCTAATTAGAAACAGAGATCCACATCAGAGCTCATCACCTAAGATCCCATTATAGTCAACATGCAAGAAATACACACAGAGTGTGCTTCTAAAATATTTTCAAGGCACCTCTTTCGTTGATCTGTAACAGCGGATCAAAGAGACTAGCTCAAATGTGAGGTAAGCCCCCTCCTGGGGATCCCTCCATCCCTACAGGATTGCCAGAGCACACCTAAGGTACCAGGACCAGGATTAGGTTCTCCACAGAAGTTGATGCAGATCACCAGTGCTGGACCAAGATCCAGGAAGGCTGTTGCAGTAACAACTTATTTGGCAAGACCATTTGCCTATAAAATGGGAAACACAAGTTTCCATATTTTTATCTAACAACACAAAATGGTTGACCAGAGGCTGAGGGATTTAAGGAGACCAAGCACTGTCTTCTCTTCTTGAAACTCTTCAATTGTACAGAAAAGAAATCATGACTATATTTGATAGAATTGGGTGGAAAAGGGGTACCTGAGTGTTACCTGCTAGTTGGGACAGAAGACATGGGGTTTGGCCTTTGTAGCTGGGATTGTTTGACCCTTTGAAGCAACATTTATTACTATGCCATGATTAAACAGATTGTGTTTAATCAGATTGTGTTTAAACAGATGGCCCTTCTCAGGTGACTGCCACACTGCCAGGGGAAAGTTTTGCAGAGCTGTCCTGATTGGTCTTTCCTCCACATCCTCAGAGAAAACAATCTTTCTGATTTATACTGGTACTTAAGAGGAAAACTCAAGATTTTCAATTGCATGTAAGTGTCTATATGGGAAGTTAGTCAGATAATTTGGATAAACAACCCTATTTATCAATAAGAATGATCATGGCTATGTGGCTTCAAATTGTGGCAAGGGACAAAAATGATAAAGACTATAAGAGTTAAGTTTTTTTCAATTAAAAATAGTAAAGGAGGCTGGAGGGAAATCTTGATGTCTAATACAAGCTGCTGAACATCTTATGTCATTTGTTTCCCACTAACATTATCTCAAGCCTGTCTTTGACACTGCCAGAATAATTTCAGAAAAGAAATGTGCAGTAAATGGCAAAAGGTTGAAACTCTCTCTCAATGAAGAGACAATTCCAAATTTCCACAATATACCAGCAAACGTACTAAATGCACCTGCAATGTGTAACAAATAAAGGTTCTGATGCCTAGAAAAATGGCAACAAAATGGAAATTTTACATCAGTTGAGAGAGGAAGGAGCTGAATGCCACCATTAGCTCAGTCTGATGCAAGCACGAGCTATGGGTATTGTGCACAACTCAAAATTTCAGGATTACGTTTCTGCCTTTATTTTGCAGTCATGATTATGTCTGCCCACAGCTGAGCTATGCTGGTTGTCCACAAAAAAAAGATAATCTTTGGAGAGGATGTTTTACTACCATTACTTCAATATTTAAACTGGATTTTTCATTCCTTCACAGTAAAATTCCACCGTGAGGTCTGCCTGTTCTTTCACAGCAGACAAGGGTAGGAATACAGTGTAGGAAAAGGACTTCTGGCAACAACCATGGTATTTTTCACTAAGAACAGTAAGCCTGATGAATAATTAACTTCTGTCTATATAGCCAGGCTCCATTTTCTTCAAAGAACCTCACATCCTTCTTTCTTTTGGAGGCCTTTCAATCCTATCTTCACTGCATCAAATAAGCAGAAACTATAGGGGAATTATGGAGAAAACTAATACAAGACTATATGGAATAAACTAACAGTTTCAAGACAGAAAAAGCAGTGTCAACCCTACTGCAAATGTAGATCCCTTTAGTGTTATTTATTCAGACTATTTTCTTTCTGTCAAAGTGAAACATAAAGCTTCAGGGTTCCTTACTGATCCCTTACGTCTCAGGGAAAAGCATACTCAATGTTTGACATATCCTGGAATCACTGCCAAGTAAACTTTTAAATCCTCACCTTTAAAAAAGAGTTTACATCATGTATGAAGGCAAAACAAGAAAACCTATGATGCTATAATTTACAGCCAACATTTTCAGACTTGGTAGTTAAGATGTCAATCCAAAATCCAAGCGTTATTTTGTGGATTACTGCTTTTGCAGGTCTTGAGAATTCGCACTGTTTTAAAGGGAGTCTTTAGGGATGCTCCTTATCTCTGGTATGGATCCTAAAATTCTGTAAATACTCACTCTCTTAAATTTAATTACGAGTATAGGCAAAGCATTTATATTAGTGCTTATAAGATCGTGGGTTTTGATAAGGTTTATGATCCAAATTTCATTTACCTGGATTTGAAAATCTGTCAGCAAAATTCCACCAAGCCTGCAGAAACCTCTCAAGAGGAATCAAGATTGCGCAGTGCTCAACACCTTCATGAAAGCCACCTTCTATCAAAGGCTCAAGGAAATACTTTTCTCCTTTCCCTATCGAATGATGCACCTAATGAGCCCCTTTGTCTTGTGCAATCCTTTTGCTGCACCTCTGGCATCCAGGCAGGCTTCATTCCCAATTAACCCCAGCTGCCCTGCCAGCCCACAGCAGAGCTGGGCACATGGATTGCAGAGCAATCACTGTGCAGCAAAGTGTTTGTTCATTGAATTTCAGCACCTGGTTGCTCCAGTTAGAAATTGTGATTATGTAAAACTGCAGCCCACTCTCCTCCCCTGCCCAAGGGGAGAAGCAGCTGCTCTCTGTCTAAACAGGCTCTGGTGCACATTAGGAAATGCAAGATCTACTTTTTTGAAAGATTTATGGGTATAGGAAAGTACTTACTTTTGTGCAACAAAAGAAGGGTCAAAGAACTCAGACGTAATCCTGTTTGCATACAGGGAACAACTAGTCATAGAGCACAACCCTGAAAAGCATAAGACAAACCATTCAGTGGGGCTGGCAGCAGAGCTTTGGGCCTGACCCTGAAGTCAACGAAGTCATGGAGGATTGTTCATGGGTTTCTGTGGAAAAGAAGCTGCTCCGGTACGACTTCAAATATGCAAACTGATAGAAATAAAGTATATTTACCAGAGAGTATGAAAATCAGTCCAGCTAAACAAGCTATTTTTGCTTTAGTCTGATCGGAGCCTCCAACTTTTGTACATTTCATCCCAACCAGTCCAAAAATAGCACCAAAGAAGCCAAGGCAGACAGCGGAGATCATCAATCCTCTGCAGGCTTGGATGTAACCTGTGAGAGAAAGAGCAAGGCCAGTATGAGAACTGGGATCATGACAAGTTTTGCTATAATTTCCCTCCCTCTGTGCAGCATCAGGCACTCACTATTGCAAATAGAATCAGACTTTGGCTGGAACAATACCACTTTACCATTGAGTGTGTTCTTCTAGGTGATGTGTGCCCTTCACAGGTCATCATCACCCATGCTCAGCTCATAAGAATCATACTATGGCACTCAGGGCTTCAAAACATTATCCCACGGGGGTATAGCATCTGCAAGAGGTTGTACCCATGAGGTTTAGAAGAGCAGCTCCACGTGGTCTGATGAGGAGCTGTCGCAGGTTGCAGAGCCACCCTGTGCACTCAAAGCAAGTCTCATATCAGTCCTGTTGTGCATGTGGGTCATGGGTACAACATGACTGGCAGTGAGGCTGGCAGCAGTGACCCTGGCTGGGGTCCTGGGCCTCCCTGGATGTCCCACTGATTTGATTTGGATCTGCCCAGAAGGCCCTCATTCTGCAAGGAAGTCAGCCAGGCGCTCAGCTCCATAGACAGCAGTAGTCCCTTGGGATAAAGTAAATCACTGCCATATTTAATCCTGGACAAACAGCTTGCACCTGGCTTCAGCCTCAAGGAATTTGGCTGTGCTGCCCAAGACTACTCCCAGAGAGACCCCCAGGGCAGGACCCCTCAACAGGACAATGGGCTGCTTGGCCTCATCTCCCTTCCAAGAATATCTCGTAATTGAAAGGCTGTGATCATCTCAAATCGCTGCTTACGGGGTGGAACGCTGCAATCTTACACAGCTGAATAACCATCACAAGATGTTTTTCTTCATAACCTGTTGTTACATCTCATTTAAAATGAAAATGAACTCCCACTATTAGGGTATTCATTCTTTTTGCTTTGATCTCCAGTGGGTGGAAATGTTGAGAGCTAAACCACATTGTCATTGCCTATTACACCGAATTTTATGTAATAATAAATAAACAACAAAACCCCACCAAACCCTGCATAAAAGTTTTAATATGTAAGAAAACAATATATTAAAGCAGGAAATAAAGGGCATCTGATGAAAACAGAAGGCAGCAGATTCAAAACAAAAGGCGTGCTTGTTTGTAAAATGAAGCTGTGGAATTCCTTTCTACAGGTTGTGTGTACACTTAGGGTTTACAGAGACTCAAAAAGAGACTGGATATGTTTCTGACAGAGAAATCTGTGTCTGGCTGGCAGGGCTTTGAGATGGAGATGGCTACCACAGACACGTGGCCACCTTCTGCTCTGCTTACTGCCACCTCCTTTAGCTACTGCTGAAGGTGTATCAGCTCTAGGATGACCACCCTGTGCTTGAACAATGTTTTAAATCCCTCATTGATTCACAGCTTTGAGCAACAAAGCAATTTGTAGCACCCTGTTTTAGCAGGCCTGCTGAACCTAGGATCTACTAGCACTAGTACTACCTGCTGGCATTTATCTACACCTGCTGGCACATAGACAGACTTCTTTCATTTGCAACATGCTTCTGTCGCTCAACTGCTCAAGAAACACACAATGAAATAAGTGTGATTGTCACACAGCTCACGTGTTGAAATGTGAGAGAGTGATTTGTGCAAGTCTCAGGTTTGAAGACAGCAGCCTTGCTTTGTTAATTTTTGCTATAGGCATGGAAAAGTTGGCGTACGCTGCTTTAGGTGGTGTGGCAGACAGGTAAAGCATGAGATGAAGACTGGAAAGGAAGCTATTATTTTTGACAGGTTCAATTTATTGACATTGTTAGTTAGCTAATTGACACATTAAAGTGCTGAACCATGAACATGTTTACCCGGAGGTAAACTTTTATTTATGTCTGAACCTCCTAGGAAAACCAGTAAATATTCACCCCAACTAAAATATCCAGCATCTGCTAGTAACCACAGGTCTGAAATTCAGTTTTTCCTGAAGGTCAATACACAGTTTTAAAATAGGGAGAGGGCAGTGAGACAGCAAGAAATAATTAACTCACTCACTCAGAAATCATTTTCAATTATAAACAGCATGAACTGGAGGACTGCTCAGTTCTGCTGAATGAATAACCTTTCTCACTAAATAATTCACGGAATTGGGCAGGCCAGCTATAGCAGGGCTTGTTTGAGTTCACCAGAGCAATCAGCCAACTGGCACACATTTCTAAAACAAAATACAAAAAAAAAAAAAATAAAAAAAAAAATAAAAAGAAAAAAAATCACAATTTACACTACTACTGTAGAAAAGCAGAAGGCTCCAGTAGTCCCACTAGGGTGACTGGAGCATTAGGAAGTATGAAAAGCTGAAATCAACATTTTCACCAAATCTAACCTCCTATTGCTTAGATCCCAGATCCAAACTTTATACAGCACTTGGCTGTAAGAGGAACTAAACCTCTATTTTGCATTCAAGAAAGCAAGATTATACTGGTCACCAAGACTTTTAGGGCTTGTTCGGCTTGATGAAGAAAAGGATCTGGGGAGACCTTACAGCAGCCTTCCAGAACCTAAAGTGGGCCTACAGGAAAGCTGGAGGACTTTTTACAAGAGTGTGTAGTGGTAGGACAAGGGGAAATGCCTTTAAACTGAAAAAGGGCAGATTTAGGTTAGATATTAGGAAGAAATTCTTTACTGTGAGGGTGGTGAGACACTGGAACAGGTTACCCAGAGAAGCTGTGGATGCCCCCTCCCTGGAAGTGTTGAGGTTAGGATGCAGCTTTGAGCAACCCTCACTAGTAGGAGGCGTCCCTGCCCATGGTCAGCAGGTTGGAAATAGATAGTCTTTAATGTCCCTTCCAACCCAAAACATTCTGTGATTCTATGATAAGGAAGAGGAGTGTAAAAGGGAGCTGCCTGTTTTTTCACTTTCTCCACTCAAGACTAAGATCTGTCCTTTTCCAAATGTTTATTGTCTGTATTGCACCAGCTCCTGCAGGAAACCTGTCATGTACATACCAACCACCCAAATGAAGCTCCCAAGAAGCAAAAAGCCATGTGTTTTAAACAGACAAGCAGACAAACATGCATTACTCATAAAGTCATGTTTAGCAGCATTCCAAGAGAAACCTATTTCAAGGTGGGTGATTGGTTTTTTTTTTGTTTCAAACAAATGTGTTTTGTCTTGCATTCAAATTAATCTTGTTAGAGCTTCATCTTTCTTGCCTCACTGCTCTCACACTTGCCTCATGCTTACAAAGACTTAGAAGGCATTCACATAATCATATCATATGACACTATGGAAAAAAAATACATATACAAAGTTCTGGGGACTGCCACTTTCACAATAAATGCCTCTGGTGGCATTTTGCAGTCTGCATCACGTGAAGTGTAAGAGGTTGCCTTACGGATACAGCACAGATTCCTTCCAGAAGTACACACCCTTTGCTTTTGTATGTCTTTCTAAGCTCTAATACCCTCTTTTAGCTCATAATTGAATTTTTGTTCAGCTCTGTTCTTGCAAAAGGTCATCAGATCCACTGCTGGAAACATGGAAACTGATACGTTCTCTTTTGGGGAGGTGGTTTCATCAGTAAATTTCCACCTGTGACCAATGGCACAAAAAGTAAACTCAAAATGACTTTAAGCCCCACAGACAGGAAGAGCATTTTTGTTTGCACACAGAATGTGAGGCTTCTAATGAGGGCTGGCCAAATTGATTTCTTCTACAGGAATGCATAATGGTGGAAGGAGACCACAAGCAATTTTCTCTGGAAGCTGTTTGTGTGGAGTGATAGCCTGAAAGCCATCAGGGCACTGCTGTGCCATCCCTCAGCAAGCCAAGGAGGACAGTCCAAGCCCACTCCATGATAGAAACCAAAGCAAGGGTAAAGAGGAACCACCTCCTGAGCACCCCTGACCTGAATTATGACGCTGCTTCTGAAGAAGGAAGGACTTCTGCACTCCACAGAACTCCAGCAACTGGTGTAGAATCATAGAGTCATTGAGGTTTGGGTAGGGAGGGACCTCAGAAGCCATCTGGTTCCTACCCTGTGTCATGGGCAGGGACACCTCACATAGACCAGGTTCCTCAAAGCATGGTCACATCCTGATTTCTTTCCCCCTCATTTTGTCTCTGATCCCCTGGAAGACCTGGGCAGCCTCTTGGGATAAGAAGTCCAGCTTACTTACAGGTTTCCAGTTTGACCAAAAAAACCCTTCAATAGAAGAAGAACTGCTCTGAGATGCAAATCCTCTCCATCTGTGTGATGAAGGAGTGGAGCAGAGTCACATTTCCTTAGGATAGCAGAAATATTTTTAGGAATTTTCCAGTCATGCTCTACCATGCATGACTGGTGACTTGAAGAGAGCAACATATTGTCACTACCTGTATCTTTAGAGGGTTATTGTTCCTGCTCACAAACCCTTCCTTGAGAACAGGAAACGATCTGCTCTGTTTGTACCTTCTAAGTCCCCCACCTGAGGATGGAGTCAGGAAGTTCCCACATTCCCAGTCACAGGGAATGGGATCCACCTTTGACTTGTAAGTCTGGGCAAAGAGGAAGAGGAGGGAAGGAAGAGGCTAGACAAGGGCTGAGGTAGATTTATCTACTTGTTGAGACACAAATTCTTTAAGCCACAAGTGACAAGCCCTGAAGTGCACTCCCCCACAGGGGAAGGGTTAGGGTGAAGAGGGGACATACACACCCACAGTCAGCTGCTGGCAGGTTCCCTGCAGAGCCTGTAACTACAAGGAAAGGAGGCTGGGCTAGGCTACCTACTGAAAGCACCCCTGACTGCAGCAGTTGCCCCTCTGACCCCACCCAGATTGCCTGGTCTGTGCTGGGGGGGTACATCATTTTCCCTCCAGCCTACCTCTCATTCATATTATGCCTGGGTACCAGAATCTGGCCCCACAGCATTTAAATGTGCTGTTGAGAAACAATGAAGCCAAGAACTTTCCACTACTGATAAACAACCTGGCCAGAAGGATTGGGACAGGGCCCTTCCAGATGTGCATTTCAGATTCACTTCTGTCCAAAATGAGCTCTTTCACTGTGCACAAGGCACCTTGGACACTAATTCTTTGTCCAAGTGGAACATGCTACCCAACACACAAGGTTTCAATGCACAAGCATTTGGGGGAAAGGAGGGTAAGGATCTTGCTTAGAGTTGTCTTCTTTTTGAAAATTTAAATGTTCCAAATCCTGCATACTTTGTAACTATGCTTTTCTTACTTTGAAAACAGATTCACCCAGACCTAAAGGAACTGCTAAACAATGGATTCAAGGGATCCAAAAGGTTTTGCACCAATGATCACTCCGTGCCAGCCTGCACAAAAATCCCCTGCTCCTTGCCTAGTCCTGGAAACCACACTCTCAGCTTCTACTCTTAGCTACAGAGTGACTGATGTCAATGGAGGCCAGCCAGTTCTCCTATCCCTTCGGAGGACCTGGCAAATCCCTCTGTCTCGACAGGGCTGGGTCAAAAGAAGGTCCAGGAACAGCACTTCTCCCCCCGAGGGAAGCATCCTGCAATAGCGGTGCTTAAGGGTTGCCTGTGCTACCTCTTTTTGGTATCTTGACCTCTTTCAGCCCTTTCTACATACAGAGGTTAAAGATTTCCTGATATTGGTACTAACGTCATGTTCATATTAATCCCTGTTAAAATTACTATTAATCTCTGTTAGTGATTAGGTTAAGAGACCTTCCTTTCCTCTTAAACAGGGCTCTTACGTGAAAATACCTTCTCAGACTCCAGTGCAAAGGGAATGTCTTGCCAGAATGTTAACAGTAGGCATGATCTTTTGTGAGTATCAAAGCCACTGGAACACTACATATTGCATTCATTTATAACTTAGAAAAGGTGCCATAATTTTAGAAGCCTTTCCTCCCTTTCTTTACAGTCACTTCTGACGCTATAAACTGATGTCATACACACTTCTGTTTCTAATAGCCACAATCAGTGTGGATTTATCAACTAAAAGTTTAGTTGCAAAGATTTTCTGCAGTGAACCAGTTTCCCAGTACTGCTTCCTTAAAGGGCAAAAATGTTTTCCCTTAACCAGGGAAGAAACGCAGCAGCAACTCAATCTTTGGTTTCAAGCCCTATAGCAAAACTCTCAGCTTTGCTTCAAAATAACACTGCCCTAAAGCTGAGCAAAGCTATGCATACCTTTGCATCCCTGACTGCCCCCGAGCTTTTACACTGTCATTTATCAATGAAACAATTACACCTGAGTTAATAACCACTTAGCAAAACCAGCAAAGGAACATTAATTAAAACAAAACGACGCCAAGGCTTGTTCTTCTCCACCGACCGTTGCATGGCTGGCAAAACCATAAAAAAGAGGAATGTCACGACAGTCGGAAAATAAACGGGCGAGAAAAATTTGCCTGCATTCTTCTTGTGTCAAATCCACACATACACTCTTCTGATGGGGAAAAAAACGCAGGTGGCGACAGCGCGAGAAGCCAAAACGGACACTTGGGCACCAAATACAACCTCATCTAGTGAGTTTTTGGGAGGAAAAACCCCGCTTCCACAGGTGTGCGCAAGCAGCACGCTGCCACCTGCCTGGCGACGCGGGGGCACCTGCCCGTGAGCCCGCGGGGTCCCCGCCGCCCCCCGGCCCCGCTGGGCGAGCCCCCAACCCCGCTGCCCCCCGCCCCGCCCCGCCGCGCCCGGCCCGGGAGCGGCCCCGGGAGCCCCCGCAGAGCGGCACAGGGACACGGGGAGGTGTCGGGGGGGGGGCCAGCGGGAGCCTGACCGTCCAGCGCCAGCATGGATGGGAAGTCCTTGCAGTTGGAAACGCCGGTGGAGTCGGTCACGCATGTCTTCCAGAGGTTGGCCCAAAAGGTGGCGGTGGTGATGACCGTGCCATCGATGGTGGACACCTTCCAGTAGTCGGTGGGCAGCGTGGAAGAGACCAGCACCCATCCCGAGATGGTCAGCAGGAAGGCGATGATCTCCGCCGACGTGCTCGCCATGGGCCCGGCAGCAGGCGGCGGGCGGCGCGGAGCCGCGGCGGATCCCGGCCGATCCCGGCGGGGGCGGTGGATCCCGGCGGCAGCGGGCGGAGCGGGGCCCAGCCGGACCAAGCGCGGCGGGGCGGGGGCGGTGGCGGCGGCCGCGCAGCCCAATCAGCACCGGCAGGTGCCGGCATCGCCCCGGGACCGGCCCCGCCCTGCCCCGCCCGGCCCCGGGGTCCCCACAGTCCCCAGAGCCCCCAGAGCGGAGCCCAGCACGGCCCGGCGGGGCGCTCCTCCGGGTGACGAACTGAACCAGACCCGAAAGCAAACAGCGGCGAGATCTGTAATTTGGGGTTGGATTCCCCCTTCCTCTGCTGCTGCTCGTGCACGGGTCGGGAGGGGGTGACAGCAGCGGGACAGGTGCGTCCTTAGCATCTCGTCCCTAGCTGCAGGTTTACATCTCTTTCCGTATGCCCCCGAGCCATCCTCCCCGCGAACTGCCTTGCCAGGAAAGAGGCTTTGAGGAATGCCCGTAGAATACAGGTGTGCCGACCGTGAGCCCTCCGTATTCCTGCAGGGACGTAAGGTTTTGAAACTCGTAACAGGGTTTTTTGATCCCCTGAATTTCAGCTGGCTCCTGATATTATCCAGCCACAGGTGATACAGCGTTTGATACCTGTCTTTGCAATGTGAGGTGATGAACTTAGGATTTTCTGCCTTAGTTTTCATGCGGTGGCATTCAAGCCTGCAGCTCACAGGTGAAGAATTATCCACAGTGGTTTCTCCTCTTGTTTGAAGCTGTTTACTTTCCACATCAATGGCAAATATACTACTGATGTGTAAAGTACACTGCCGGTCTTTACTTTCCTCCTATTTATTTCAAAACTATTGTTACATTTTCTAAACCTTTTTGCCAGATGGGCAGTCACTGGGGGATAAGAAGCCACATTTGCATCATTGTTCTTCTGATGAATGCTCTTTTGCAGTGTGGTCACAAACCCGGATGTAATCACCTTACAGACCCATATTAAAAAAAAAAAAAAAAAAAAAAAAAAAAAAAAAAAAAAAAAAAAAAAAGAAGAAGAAAAACCTCATAGTTGGGTGTACCTTTGGATGTGGGTCAGAGCTCAGTGGGAACAGGGTGTTTCTTGATCTGTTAATGCTCCATCAGGAAAAAACGGGGTCCACAGATGCATCTGCTGACACAGTGGCTCTCTGCCTCCTTGGTACCCTGTGACTTTCAGGTGACGCACAGCAGCATTGGCAGGGAAGAGGGAGGGGGGAAAGCAGGAAGGAGGCTTGTTTGCACAGCAGCACTGGGCATGGGGCATGCTACACTCCATTCAGCCTCTGTGCCAAGATGCCTTCTTCTCTCCCCAGGAGGGAAAAAAACCAGGGTCATGAAGAAGGTGAGCCACCCTCCAGTGTGGTGTCAGGCTGTAGCCAGAGCTCACTTTGGAACACTGAGGTGACTGTAGATCCAAGTCCCATCTCCATGATGTTATGATCTAGTTATCATAGGGCATAGCAACAGAAGGGAAAAAAGGAAAGAAAGATTTTTAATATTTTCCCTCGTCATAGTGCTTTGAGCTCTTGCAGACAGAAATTATGTTGGTGGTGATAAAGTAGATCAATCCAAGCTATCAACTAGGATCTAATCAAGTCTGAGGTAAGACACTCGAGTCCAAACCTGGGTCATCGTGTTTTCTGGACATGGAAAGCTCACCTGTTCTTTTGTTGATAACACTGCTTTGCTTGGTGAATCCAGGGAGTAGCATTTGGGCAAGTTTTGGCCAGGGCCCATCAGAACTTTTTGGTGCACTGTCATGCAATAACCAGAAAGCTGGAGTGAGTGTTGAAGGGCAGGAACACAACCAGGATACCTCTAGGCACGAGTCTGAGCTCCTGAGTCTGGGAAGGAGAGGAAGAGAGTCTTCCTGAGGAGCATGGGCACTGCTCCCCAGAGGGCCAGCAGAAGTGGCAGGCTGGTGAGTGAGCCTGCTGAGGGTGGGTAGTCCTGCTGAAGCTGCCATGGCCTCTGGCTGTGATGTCCAACAACCATTTGGGCTGTCCCAGACCGTGCTGCTTTCAACAGAGCCAGACTTGGCTGCCGTGTGCAGTGTGGATCCACGTCTGTCCCAGGGCCACCTGTCTGCTGCCAGGGACTTCAGGGTGAGCCCATGCCGGGGGCTTAGGGCAAATTAAATTATTTCAACCTCACTCTCTTTCTGCCCATAAGGACCCTTCAAGCAGGACTAATCTATACGTTTGTTCCCTTGTAAACCTTGTTTAATCCAGGATGTTGTGAAGTGGCCTCAGTGTACATGAGAACAAGACTGGCTTTAGCTTCAGGGAAAGGTTCCTCCTTTCATCTCCTGACACTGTTACTTCTGAGGATGTTTTATGTAATTAGTCCAGTGGTTACCATCTTTCTCATATAAAATCAGAGCAAAATGTTGCACTTCTGATCTCATCTTTGGTGATGTAAACCCAAAATGACACAGTGCACAGCTGAGCATTCACCCCAGGCTGAAGAGTAAGGGAAGTTTCAAGATACACTGTTCCCCTGTGACATTTTCTTCTTGCTGGCTGGAATCTTCAGGGATAAGACATTGGAAAACATCTGGGAGGTTATGTTTCTCCCCTGTATAATTTTTTCAGCTTCTTTCTCTTGTGCAACTGCTAGTCCCTTTACCGTGAGCTTAACTCATGCATCTTCCAGTTTTCCAGGATACAGTGGTCTCTTTTCTTCCTGTTGATGTGGTAGGAACTTTAACATCCATATGAAGACATTTCTACATCTCCTTTCAACCTCTGTTTTCCTGCCACCATAGCTCTAGCATTGGATTTGCTTACTTGGCTTTCTTACCTATTTATAGTTTATGTAGTAGAGCAAAAGAGTTGGCCTTTGTTTTGGATTTTTTTTGGTTGGATTGGGTTTGTTGTTTTTTTTTTTTGTTCCTGTGTTTCAGGACAAGTTATGACTTGGGCAGTTTTCGAAAGTTCCTCAGACCACTGTGGGACTGATTTGCGTTTTCTTATGTCAATACAACAGCACAGTTTTGTGCTGGGTCATTTGACTGAATATGGGGTTTGTTCCTTTGGACTGGGGGCTGGGTTTATTCCCTTGGACTTAAGAAAGGTGCTCATGTCTTTTTTTTTTTTTAAGAAAAAGAACCCCTACTGTTCATTTTTTGTGGCAAGTTTCATTGACTCTTGTGCATAAAAGTGGCATTTAGTGGAGAAATATTAGTATGTGTTTAGAATAGGCTGTTTCAGTTGGAAGGGATCTGTGCTGATCACCTAATCTAGCTGCCTGACACTTCAGAACTGACCTAAAGTTAGAGTGTGTTACTAAGGGTATGTCCACCAAATACCTCTTAAACACTGACAGGCTTGGGGCAACAACCACCTCTCTAGTAAACCTCTTCCAGGGTTTGACCATGGTCTCAGTAAAGAATGCTTTCCAATGTCCAGTCTGAACCTTCCCTGTTGCAGCTTTGAATCATTCCCACACATCCTGTTGCTGGATTCCAGGGAGAAGAGATTATCACATCTGTCTCCATCTTCCCCTCTTCAGGAAGCTGCAAAGAGCAATGAGATCACCCCTCAGCCTCCTTTTCTCCAAACTAGATAAGCCCAGAGTACTCAGCCACTCCTCACAGGACGATTGTATGAAAACCCTGACTTAAATCCATCCCCCACATCCCTTCATCCACTAGGTGGGTGACCTTATCATAGAAGGATATGAAATTAGTTAAACAGGATTTTCCCTTTGTGAGCCATGTTGACTGTGCCTGTGGATTGCATTGTTCTTTAAATGCCTTTTGACAGTACCCAGTGTGATCTTCTCTGCAATTTTTCCAGGAACTGAAGTTAGACTAACAGGTCTGTAGTTCCCTGGGTCTTCCCTCACATCCTTCTTCTAGATTGGAATAACACTGGCTAGCTTCCAGTCAGCAGAGACCAATCCCAGGCTACTGGGGTTTTTGAACTATATACATTTTACAAATCAGGCAGGAATATTAATAAATAGTTGAATTTTTATAATGTGCAAACTTTTATTATATTGCCAAGCATAGAAGAACCCTTCAAGAGACAGTTTTGCTCCCAAGTCTGAAATACTGAGTATTTTGTTAGCTCTTACAGGCTCAAAATCACAAGTAATCATAATTGCCTCATAAGTTAAACACCAGATGACAACAGCATTTGTTCTGCAGCCAGGATTAGCAGGCCAGGGTCGTCATGCCTTTGTCCTGGAGTAATTTTTCTTGTAATTTTACCATGCATAAGTTGGGCAATTTGAAACACTTTCCTGGCTTTGCCATGTTATGATTTCCAGGATGCCTAGAGCACTTGTGCAAAAGGAAAAAAGCCCCAACTTTATTTTTCTTAGGCTGAAGGACAGCTTCCTTGTTTGCTAGGATTTTCCTGAATATTGAAAAAGTAAAGCAGATATGTGGGTAACATAGACAGGCCCATAAGATTGTCATCACCTGGGCTAGGTCAGGCCTGTTGGCAGTGCTGGGTGTGGGGAGGGCACCCCAAACTGGCAGGTACCTTAGAGGAGATTAACACAACAGTAGGTGAGGAGTTTGCACGGTGCTCTGCATTGCACAGAACAAAGTGCCGCCTCAAAAATGAGCAACCAGATCCTCTCCCTCAAAAGAGAGCAAACAAAGGAATGCTTCTGTCTCACCAAAAAAAAAAAAAAATCCATCAAATTGGGAACATCAGTTAATAATCACCAGTCCTTGCTGGGGTTGCTATCTTTGTTTTTCCTAAGTGGTGGGAAAAGGAATTAAATTAAATTACTGCATGTCTTTTGTAAACTGCCAGGACAAGAATGATTTTTAGCTATGCAGTTCATACATTACATAACAAAAAGTAAAAAATTAATAAGAACTGACAAACCAGAGCATTTTAAAGCAGTGAAAAATTGCATTCCACATGCCAATAAACTTTCCCCTCTCCCTCTCTCTGTTTAGGGCATTCGGACATTACCGACCTTGTTTCTTGACACTGTGATTAATGCA